TATTGTGACCTACTCTGCATTTTCACTTGTTACCATGGCAAAGTTTCCAAATTAATAGACTGCAGTATAGAAACATACCTCATTTTCTTAATACTGGCTGTCTAGTAGGGGTGGCCATCAGGTTTTTCTTAAATCTGTAGATAATGTAGTATAACTTGCTTTTCTACGTCTGCTTAAAAAACAGATATGCTCTAAGGTGTGTTATTAATGATTGTACAGTTGTTATGAAGGTAACAGAGCATGCAAAAGTCTTTTTCCATTAACATGTTTTTATAGATTGAACGTTTTGGCAGGAACTGGTTGTGATACAATCTAAATAAATTTAGCTTTTTTTTTAGGTTAATACAATGTTGAACATTTAAGGTGGCTTTAAAGACTGTTCTCTGAAGTTAATTATCTTCTGTGGTACATTACAAAATTAATGTCTCTTAATTAGAAAATTAGATTATTTTAAAAAGTTACTATTTTAAAGTGTATGGGGAATCACAGCTGCAGCTAATTACAAGCCAATACTCTTGACCTTGTTTGCAGACAAAGAAACAGGATGGTTAATAAAAGACTCAAAAAAAAAAAAAAAAAGATTGGAAAAATACTTTCTGTAATATCTTTGTCATTTCACAACTATGCGAGATTGCCTGAAGGAGCTAGCGTTTTCGTCCCCTTGCTATGGAGGTATTTTTAATCTGTTTTATTAGTTTAATCTTTTTGATCTTAGCTGCAGTCTCAGTCCCTTTCAAAATTGCTGTCCTACAAGTAATAGTTATGTTATTAGAAGAAGTAAAAGGGTTGTATGCAGTCTTTTCCATTTTATGCCATGTGCATTTATTAAAAGGTCAACAAAAACTTAAAAGCCCATATATAACTGTATGTGGTTATATTATTTATAACTAATGTAAACACATATAATAAGTCATTCTTTCCAAATGCAGATTTGGAGAAGGTCTGGGGAAAAAAAAAGTCTGACTGTTTGAGGATTGACAAAAAATAATTGTGAATGATTAGTCTTTATGTCCTTCAGGAACTCCTGCCGACACTGACTGCTCTAGTAATCAGAAGTGTAAATAGAAGTGATTCATGTTTGTGGCAGCATGGCTAACAGAAGTCATAGAATCACAGAATTCATAGAAGTCCTCAGAGTAGACTCCTTCATAACAACAGAAGGGTACTCAGAGCTGTGTGACTAGTTTTGTGCAAGAGATGGACTGATTTTACTGTATCAGCATAAAACACTTTGCTACTACAAGTGTGACTACTCTGGGAGTGCTCTGATGATGCAGTACATCAGTGTACCTAGTGTAAACATTACCTTAACAACCTTGTCTTAGTGTGAAAAGAGGGCTGTGGTGACACATTTACTGTGTACACACAAAAGAGCAAATACATTCTATAGGAGAAACATTTTATTCTAGAAGGAATGGTATAATGAGAATGAGGAGGTGGAAGCTAAAGCCAGAAAATTCAAATATGAAATGAGATACACATGTTCAGCTGTGAGTGTGATACACTTTAGCCAAACACAACTTACTGAGCTTAGTACAGAGGGAACTCAGTGAAATGTAATGGCCTGTGATATGCAGAGGGTCAGGTTCTATGATCTAATCATTTCTTCTGGCTGAAATCTCTTCATAAAAAAATCTAGTTCAACCATAACTTATGGCCTAAAGAGAGGAATTGCTGCATAAAATTCAATGACTAGTGCTTGCACAAGGTGAGTTGGAAGTGTCCCTTCTGACTTTATGGTTGGATTAATGTGTGAAAGTAGCTTAATGTCACAATACATGCCAGCAAAAACCATAACAGAAAGATACTCCTGTTAAAATGCTTTCAAGTAGCATAGCCTGTGGAGGTGGCAGCTATGCCCACACTATTGTGTACTGTGGCCCAGCAGGAACATGCATGTTGAGGGAAGCAGTTAATGATCCAGCATCCCTGATACATGGGCTGAATCCTTATGTGGTGCTGGTGTTGGGCCGATCCCATGACCTGGATATCTCTTAGCAGGCAGAGCACACCCCTGCACATTTTCCAGCTAGTGCTCTTTGAGACAGACTTCTCTGCAGTGTATACCAAAGCTGGTAGGTAGGGACGGAGAGGAGATTGATTATGAAAGAAGATTCTCCATCCAACCAGAGATCAGTATAGGCTTATCCTAAAGCACCTTTCTTTTTAACTGTACACATGTATGTATGATAGTTCCATACATGTATAGTGCATACAATGAAACAGTCTGCTCTTACTTTCCTAGAAATTTTGTTAGAATACGAACCCTTAACTGGGATTTGATATAGTAAACTAGCCTGATGTAGCAGTAATACTCAGCATCTGGCTGTTAAATGATGCATATTGAACTTGAGGCTGAAGATAAGATTTCTCATTGCAATATAGTAACAAAAATGCAGTGTGCATGCTATAGTTTGGCAGGCGGAATGTGGGATCACAGAGTGCTTTAATGAAAAGTTGCAATGTAGTAGAAAGATGTACAAAAATATATATATACACATATATATAAAATATATATGAACTAAGGTAGTTCTGTATGTTAATTTAGATGATGGTACATTCATTTATTCTGGTGACAGTTCTACAATGGATTGTTGCAAAGAAGGCAAAGGGCTGAAGGCCCTAGAAGAGCTCCAGATGTTACGGATTTTTTTTTCTTGTTATTAGCAATTACTCGCTTGGAGTTGTCTAGCATTTTTTGTTCTTAATAATGAACTGTGGAAGAGTCAGCAGAATCATGACCAGCCAGATCATGAAACTTGGTAGTGGTAAGAATATGTAGAAGTTTGAAAAGAGGAAGCATTTCCAACAAACCGTGATTTAGATTTTCTCATTTTTCATACTTTATAAAGGTGGTTTTTTTTTTTTCTACTGTGTTTGTACTTAACCTCTGCTGTTGTATTCTTCAGAAGCTGCAGTATTCCTTTAAACATAATTTTATTGCTAAGATACTGCTTCATCCCCAAAGTCACATTTTATATTTTAAACTGTTTGTCTTTTAAGATGTATTTATTGCCATGTTTGTTTAACTTGGTTATCTCCTTCATCAATCTGTTTCTTGCTAACTTAAAGCTGTTGCTCTTTGTTTTTAGTATAGAGGGCTGCTTCCCTGGGGAAGTATAGTCCAGGACTTGTCTCTGTAATGGGACTATTTGTTTTCTTTGCCCCTTGCAGTTGCCTGCTGTAACATTTGTAGTATGTGTTAAGTAATCCTTGAGGTAACATTTTTATTATGTCATAAAAAGTGCGTGGCAAATATATAATAACTCATGGAATTTGTTTGTTTAAAAATGGAAGGATAATTTATTGAGTGTGTTACATGAGACCTGCTCCCCCTTATTAGAGCTGTAGAAGTGCAGCTTATTTAGAAGTATGTTCTATTGAGAAAAACCACGATCTCTGACATACACAGAAAGTTTGAGCATGGTTGGGTAGAAATGACATCATAGTTTATGTACTCAATAAAAATTTAATTAAGTCATTACAGAAGTTGCAGTCATCATTTAACCCTCTGATTTCTTATGGTTAGTTCTTTTTTTTTAAACATTCAATAATAACCAGTCACCGAATCTTGATAGCCTATAAAATATCTGCATGAATTTTAATAGCTTAAATTAATGGGAAAATATGAGTAACTGACATAAAAGGAATTTTCCTTGTGTTTGCCCTATATGCATTTCTATAAAAATCGACTGATGAAAAAAGATAGTGGTTTAATGGAAGAATATTTAACTGGAGATTTGCTAGTGTGGCAAAAACTAATTCACATTTTGATAGAAAAGCTGTTACATAAGCACCAAGTTGAGTACCCTTAAGGATGCTAAGAATTTAGGACATGGCTCATATTTTCGTAAGTATTAAGATACTAAATATGCAAAGTTTTCACAGCTTTTCTTTAGCCTTGTGATAAGCTGTACATCAAAAAGCAGTAATGCTCAGTCCATTGTAGAATTGACTACCCTGTATTCCTGTTGACAGTTTTTTATAAAGATGCAGTCTCATAGATGAGTTTCTGCTAGTATGCAGGTATTAAGATAATTATCTTTGCGTGTGAGGTCTGTTTAAAACAAGAACAAGCAAACAAACAAAAACCAATGGAAGCATAGCTCAACCCTCAGGAGAAGAACTGCTTATTAAACCATTCTGTTGATAGAAATAAAAAAAATACAGGCAAAAGAAGTAGACGGCCCGAGGGAGTTGCACAGAGTTATTTCAACCCTCTCTCTGCTGATCTCCTTTTGTTCTGTCTTAATCTCATGTAGGGGTTAGTTCTGCAAGCCAATGAGTGGCTTAGGCTATAACCAGCAAATATTTAAGCAATTGTTAAATTTAGTTAAAAGTCAGTGTGGAACTTAGACTGAGTCACACAGCATAAGGGGAAGTATCTGTGCCATCACAAACTGAAAGAAATTCAGTCATAGCGAATAACTAGTGCATCTGAGTTTCTACTGAGATGCTGTAGGAACAGAATTCATGTGATTCCTGAATGTACAAGTCAATATTGAGAAGTAATAGTAAGAAGTGGTAGGGATGTTGTCTTTAGTATTAGGGTATTTCTACTGTGACAGAATGCCCAGCTCTGAGGTCCATGCTTTAGGGGAAGAAAAAAAAAAAGAAAAAAAAGAAAAAAAAGGACAAAGCAGCTTAATAGTTCAAATGCAGAGGAGTCTTCATTATCGGGAACAGCGTTGCTTTCACTCTTCACCCAGTTGTGCCTTTTCCTCTGTTCACGTAACTGTGTCAGCACTGGAGGCTGATGATTTTTCTGCCATTCCTTGACTTTATAGCCATAACCTTGACTTTGTCTTTCTTTTGTGTACAGACTTAACTGAGCTGCATTGCACATTGTTCTAAAATCTTTAACTATAGGAATATCATTACTTAACAGCCAAATTCTAACTTACATTGGCCAAGGCGCTTTTTCTTCTTTTCCTACTGATAATAATTTTTTCATGACCTCTTTAGATCCCCTACAGAAGGTTTTCTGCTTTATTTTTCAGATTAATTCTGTTGTTCTAAAGGAAGATTTGAGAAGTATGGTAGAAAATTTCTATGCAGCTCTATTTGGATATGATGAGGTAAGAAGGATGTTTTCAGAGAAATGTGCAAGAACAAATAGACCCAACTAAGTCGCTGAACACAGAATGTTGCAGATGGGTAAAGCATTTGCTATATGTATTGTTGGAGAAATGCTACACCGTAAGCAGACTTCTTAGTGATAATCTTATGCCTTTTTAAGAAAAAAGAAGCACCTGACATACTGATTTAAACCACTGGACATAGAAGAAGGAATATTCTTTGTTCTGTTTCACTGTCCCTGCTGTCAATAAATCATTTTCTTCCTTTGAGTTCCATTGTATTCAGCTATACTTTGAGAGTAAATAGAGTATTTATAAAGAGCGTGTAAATGTGGAAGTATTTATAGGAAATATCTGATCAATATGGGGAGGCAAAAGTATCACTGTGCACAAGCATCTGTGGGATTTCCAAGGAGAAAATACAATTGCATCAGGTCTTTTAGTAGTTATTTTTTTCCCTCTAGTGGATATTGTTCTTCACACGCTCTTATTCACGGGGTGGTATTTGCATTCATGTGGTTATTTTGCATTATTAATACATTATTAATGTCTCTTAAATTTAAACTTCAGAGTTTTGGACAGTGTTATTAATGTGAGTCTTTAATCTAGTTTTAAGTGTTGCCACGATGTGTCTGTGACTGTTTTTTTTTTTGTTGTTGTTGTTGACAGTCTTTTTGGAAACAAGATGTCTAATTAAATTAATGACAAATGTTGACCTCTTATCCACCCTTTCCTTTGGCAAATGTTGTCAGCAGAGACAGGAATTATGATACTATGGTGAGAACACCACGTAATCTGAAAAGACAACAAAAGTTGGAGAGAATTTATAGAAAAGGTGTTCATGGATGTGATTCTCCTATAAGCCAAATTTAATATTAGATTTAACTGAATATCTAGATAGTTCTTGATGAAGAGTTCTCTTTTTCTCATTTAGTATGAAAAACATAAAAGCAAAACAAAATAGCAAAGTCCTCATTACTTCTCTGCAACGTCATATTATGCATCCTTTTCCTTCAGTACATAATTGGAGAATTATACATCCTCCAATTGTCATGGTCTTCACAAATTTTGTAAGGTGGTGTTGTCTTCTTTGTAAAGCCAAAATCTTCATGGTAAAGTTTTCATAACAGAAATGCAGTGATTAGCTCCTGCATTTAGGAATATCCTAACGTAGCTTTTTTTTTCCAGATTAATTTGCCAGAATATTTGTTACAGACTGCTCTGTAAGTTACTTAATTTAAGGCCAGGATTGTTTTCCGTTCTGTAAAAGGAGTGATGTTGATGCCTTTTTATATGTGCTATCTGTAGTTGCTGTGGGCTTTGAGGCATCTAATATTGTCAGTTGGCAAGTAATTTTTAACCCACCTCTATACTTTAGGGAATTTTGTCTGATGATCATGTTCTGGCAGCAGCTCTTTGGAGAAACCTTTTTAACAGGAACTGCGAGGACCCTCGGCATCTGGAGTTACTCGTAGAGTATGTGCGCAAACAGGTATGCTACAGCTCATATTGTGAATTCTCTTCATTCTCTTGGTTTGTATATTGAATGTTTATTTTTGCTTGCATAATAAGTAGCTCATTTCTCCTTATCAATATCACTTTTTTAATGTTGATTATTTTTTAGAGAAAAAGTAAAACCATAAAAACTGACTGATATTCATTGTGGTTTGATGAAAAGTAACTACAGAGAAATTCACAGAGGATTGAAAGCAAACCTGTATTCCTTTTTTCTGGGCCCATGTTGTCTTCTGATACTGAACTTCAGAGACTGAACAAAACACATCAGAAGTGGTCTGCAGTTTGCTGTAGAATTATACTTGATGCTGTGGAGTTGGAATCCTTGAAAATGTAGTAGCTAGCATGCAGTGATTAAAATTCTTCTGATGATGTATTGTATGTACAAAATTCTTCTTCTTTGTATGTAAATACATAAAAGGTTTTGTCTTCCAGTTTCTTTTAGTTATTACTTGGAGGAAAATATATTAAACAGTGTTTATCCTCTCAACCCTTAGGAAGTTTCTGAACCAGATTTTTAGGAAATGTTGGGTAGGACCTTGTGGCTATGGTCCAGGTGGGTACCAAAGACAGAAAAAGGGTGAAGAGGACTGGAGGAAGAGTGTAACTGTGGGACAGAAAATTGAAGACTAGTACCTCCACAGCACCATTCTCTGTAATGTTTCCAGTGCTGCATTCAGGACCAGGTAGAGATTTGGAATTGTATTCATTGTGACTCTCAGAAAACAGCATGGGAAGTGAAGGACTCAAATTTGTCAAGGACTGAGGTTGCTTCTGGATTGCTTGCAGGATTCTCAGGAGGGACAGACTTAATGCTTAGGGTTGCTGATGCTTAACATCAGTGAAGCTGTAGGAACGTTTAAAACTTAAGATTGTCAAGAAGTAAACCAGCATAAAAATATGTAATTTGGGAAAGTATTGCCATGTAGAGAATTTGTAGCAACTTTGTAGGCTTTGTAACACAGATGATAGGAGAGAAACTGTCAGCAGTCAAATAGGAAACAGTGACCATACAGATAGAAGTAGCACATAAGAGAAAAGTCAGCAGAGCTTCTGTGAATACAGGTCATGCCTCATCAATCTGTGGCTTGAAAATGTCATTGACACTGTAGACAGTGAATATTTGATTTATGTAGTCTTTATGGATTTTTAGGAAACTTCCAATAAAGCATCTCACCAATTACTGTTTTTAAAAGAAATTGAGCAGTTGCAGGGGAAGAGTGAAGGTTCTCCCATAGACAAGCAACTGTGAAATATAGATAATAGGGGTCAATAAATAAAACCTCAATGGCCTGCTCTACCATGGGTCTCTCCACAGGCAAGCTTCAGCTCCATACCTGGAGCAGCTTCTGCCCTCCTTCTGCACAGGCCTTGGTGGCTACAGGTTCTCTCTGCGTTTCCTCGCACCTTTCTCACAGCTGCTGCTGTGCAGCAGGGTTGTTTTTTTTTGTTTGTTTGTTTGGTTTGGTTTGTTTTCTCCCTTCATCATTGTGCTCTCCGGGGGTGTAAACAGCATTGCTCACTTTAGCCACCAGTGGGCCCTTTTGGGTCCCCTGGCTGGAGTTGGCTCTTTTCTAATACGAGGTAGCTCCTGGGCTCTTCTCACAGGCACTGCCCATGCAGCCCCCCCACTATCAAAACCTTGCTATATAAGCCCGATAGAGCAAGGAAAGGCTGAATGCATGTAACCACAGGTTGCTCGGGATGCTGAAATTGCACATGGGTTTTAATGTCGCTGGGAAATCTTATTGAAGAGAAATTTGTCTAGGGTTAATAAATGTAGAGTAACAACCTGAAGCTCAAAATCTCTGTACTAACAAATTTTGTGAGGGAGGGGAAATAAAGAAAATAACATTGCATTCATGCATTGTATTCAACTCCTGCTGGGGAATCTGCTATGGACTGTCAGAAACAGGATGCTGTGCTTAGGTGGCTCTTCAGTCTGATCCTTCTTGCCATGGATGTATTTCCTCTGTTGAGAAATTCCTTCTCAGATTATCTTTTATTGCTAGTAAACATTGGAAATCCCTTGTGTAAGATGTCTTTCACATGTGTTCTTGCTGATCCTGTCTTTAACAGTGGCTATTATTGGATGCGCAGAGAAGAATGTAACAACAGGGCAAGTGTGTGTGCTACTTCCCTGGTTGATTCTTAGCAATCTATGCTCAGGCTTCCTGAGCCAGAGGTGGTGTTTCTAATTTTTAATGCCTCTTGATGGGCTTTTTAGTTCCTTTCCCTCACCCCAGTGCTTGCAGTGTCTTATGGCAGCAAGCATGGCATTTACAATGTGTTAACACTATGTTATGTGACAATAGTACTTTGCTTAAATGTTTTGTTTGCGTTGCACCTTGAAATTTCATTTGATGCCAATTATTTCTTGTAGTGTAAGAATGTGAGTTCATTCCCTGTTCATCTCCTTCATCAGCCTGTGCGTTTTTGTAAATCTCAAAAGTTCCCTGCTGGTCAGGTTTTTTCCTACAGCGAAAAGCCCTGGTCTATGTGAAACCACTTTTATGAGAGCACTCCTTGCAGATAATGGTACTAGCAGCGTGTCATTGGAATTAACTGCTTGGAAGATGAAATGAATCATGTTATTTTGCATCTTTGTCCTGTTGCCAAATTTTCAGAGGAAGCATTAGCTAAGGAATTAGACAACCTTGCGCAGTTAACTCCAGTTGATCTGCAGATACTTATCTCCTAGCCTGCCTGTAATGCTTAAGCAGTCATAAATCTTTTTCACTGTACCTCTCACAAATGGCAAAGTATACCAGAAAGTAGCGTGTTTGCGTAGCTCTTGAGGGCCTTCAATGAGTGTCAGGATGCCTTGCACTAACACCCTGTCTCTTGCAGGTGCAGCACCTGGATGCACTGAGCGGGGAGGACCTGCTGTTGACGGGTGAGGTGAGCTGGAGGCCTCTTGTGGAGGACAACGCCCGCAGCATCCTCAAGCCCCTTTCCCCTGTTTACAATGACGAAGGACTCTGAGAGCATCTCTCAAACCAGCTTGGGAAACATACCTGAAATTGAACTAGGCAGAGGCTGTGAGGTCAGGAAGTGAAAACTGCTGTTGAAAAAGAGCGTATTTAAATAGATATCTTATCTGTGGTAGCTGAGTAGCAAATTGGACAGCCTTACTCTTCTGAATATTCACCTGTGAATAAAGCTAGTTGGTTTGGGAACATGTGTTCTTTTTATGGCACTGCCTGGTCCTTGCAGACAAATTGCAAGACCTGCCTTCCATCTTTGGGAAAACAGATGTTTTACCATGACTTATAACTATCTCCAGAAGCCATTTCTGTCCTTTGCCTCATTTAGAGAGCTGCTACATACAGACTGTATGGTGTTCCTTTGCTTACTGAATGGTTGTTAATACAAATCTGAGCTTTGCATATTAGATGTTAATATATTCTAAAAGCCTGATATCAAGATGGCATGGTCCATTTTTGCTTTAATAGAGTAAAGAATTGCTTTATCAGGTTCTGAAGGATTTTCCATGAAAATCCTTTTTAGGAACTCTTTGCACAGGAGTAGGAGATGCAAAGAATAATGCATGGTCCCCAGTAATCCTCTAACTCTAGCCATCTTAATGAGGAAAAAAAGTCTGAAACATGGCTGGGCTGTTGCTAAAAGCTACCTCAGAGCACTTGGTATTTCAGAGGAGCTCTGCCATGCTGATATTTCCATATTCTTTTGAGAGCTGTGGTATAAGAATTTCTTCATGAAAATAGCATCTATGTTTCTGTCCATGGCTCTTAATGGGATAGGACTGTGCTGCCCTCCACTCCCAATGCAATGGTCCAGGGTTTTTCAACAAGAGCTGTCAACCCCAATTAAAAGTTTATATGGCTGTGCAAGCAAATTACCCCAACACAGTAATTACGGGAGCAATAGCTCCACTGATTAAATCAGCAGAGGCTGAGGTGTACTGCGTAGGTGGATGGTTCACCAGGCTATTTCCAGGTCAGTGACAAAAACAGTTTTCATTTCTCTCATGTCTAAAATTGTAGTCTGTAATAAATGCCAGTCTGGGTAAAAATGATGTGTATGTGTTTTCTGGGCCATACGTGACTTTGATAAGAGTAAGCCCTATGATATTAGGGTGTATTCCTAATAACACTATTAAGCAAAAGTGGAGGAGGATGATTCTTAGTTGATGAAATGTTATTTCTGCTGAAAGAGTGACTGTGCCTGGCTGTGACTGTTCTTTATGACATTGTATTCTTCATATTGCACGTTTTGTTGAATATTTGACATCCCTCCTCTGTGTGAAGAGCAGTGGGATGTTGAAAATAGGCTCCCAAACACTGGCCTGCATTTTTTTTAGCCTTCACTTAAGGAACCTTCTCTATACAAAAAAGGCATTTTGTTATTTTTTTTCCAAGCCGAACTTCCTCAGTTTAACTTGTTATAAAATGAGTCATGTAAAGAAACCCTCTATGTGTGAGGTGTATCCCTTCTCTGTGAAAACATTACAGACCAAACAACTTGCTTGCAGTTTATTTAAGATGCTTTTGTTGAAAGCTGAGCTAAGCAGAGAAACCTCTTATGTGTGAAGTATTATACAGTGTATGTGAGATAATAACACCTTGTAATTCATTACAGCTGGGTTGTATTTACATAAAAGAAGGCTGAGCTGTGTAGGAATTTGCTGATTAATTTATTTTTAATGGGAGTGAAGTATACCAAGTACCAAAATAAACTTTACTTTGTGTATCTTACTGCTCCTGAAATAGGTGGAAAAATTAATGGTAGATATTTTGGCTCAAAGCTACATACATTAATTCATATACAAAACAGTCATTTAAACTTTAACCCCTTTCCTGCTATGTAATTTAAACCTGGACTCATGTTATTCATGCCATGGGAACACAGGACTGGGTGTACACCACCCAACCCAAAGGACATGGTGCTGCACACAGGTCAGAGATTGTGCAGTGTCTGTGGCACTGATGCTACAGAGCCAGCAAGTCAGTAGTAGTCATGGGACCACTAGTCTGTGGATGGCAGTGCCAGTAGGAGCATGGGTATTGAACAGCCAAATGGTCAAAACTAAAGCTTTCCTAAGTTTATGGGCAGGAGGCTTCAGAAATATGGTGCCAGACTGTGGTTGTTGGCATCTGTTTTTGTGCTTATTAATGTGAGAATAGAAAGACCTATGATCATAGTTCTTTGCTTGCTCCAGAAAATACCTTCAACCACCCCTCCGTTACAGAGCTGAGCCAGCAGTCACAGTGTGTTTTGGACAGAACCATGTGGGGCACATTAAGACATTAGAAGATTGTTACAGACCTAGAAGATAGAAAATGTATGAAACGAGTGATCTTTGTTAGAGAGGAAAAATACATGGAAGACTACACAGGACTTTGCTTCCCAGACATTAATTACCTGGAGACAGCATTTGGATGTAAAATGACTCCTCTTACTCTTGATGCATGCCAGTAGGCTAGAAATATGCCATTGCCTACATCTTATGACATCTTTACAACCAGACTTGAGAGTCCTTGAGAGAGTGTACATTTCCAGTAGCAAAATCTGCACCTTGCAAGCATTACAGGAGCAGTGGGTAGCAGTTAAGTGATTCCTGTGTACACAACTGCTCCAAGTGCAGCAAAACATAGTTCTTTTAAAAAAATATTGCAAAGGCCATCTTTTCCAGTTTTCCGGGTTTTGCAAAGGGAATAATCAATGGTATTTTGCTTATGGACAATTCTTTTTTACTTCAGCATGGGGACACTTACTGAGTTTTACGTTTATATATGTGGAAATCTGCTTCCTCTGAAAGGAGCTATGTTGAGCATTTTATCATCCAACCTGTGATACCCTGAATCATATACAGAATTCGGATGTTGCTGGTTATTTCAAAGGAATTGCTCTCCCAGCTGTGGCTAAAAATCCTGAGACGCAAACTCTCAGAAGCACTCATTATTTCAGCTAGGTTATTGTGGCTTCCTTGTTACTGCAAGCAGAAAATGAAGGCCAACCCTTGGTGTCCTCCTTTCCCTCTCTGCTCCTGTGCACCAGTAGTAATGTAAGTTCATGTTTTTGCCTGCAGGGTCAAACTTGGGAAGTCCCTTACTCCAGAGTGATATTTGGAGACATTTTGGGGTGCAGAGCAATCATCTGATCCCCTTGGATGCCTAATTTGTATTTTTGGTGGTTACGTGTTTTTCTGCAGCTCATGTCATTACCTGTGTCTCTGTGTTCACACCCCTTTGTTGTGTTCATATCTAATAGTTTTCTCTTGCTTCTCAATACAGTTAAAGTTAAATACACTAAGAGCACAAACATCCTTGATGATGTCCAGGTGTCTCAGCCGTGTTGAAATGTAGTTACCACTTCCCAGATTTCTGAGACCTGTCCTCACCTTCCACAAAGTGTAGTTTTTAGTCATGTTCCTGCCACACCAAACCCTCAGGGCAGAACTGTGGCTCCTGACATAGCAGCGGGACTTAACCACTGACCTGTCTCATTTATACTGCCTTTGGTTTGGCAAATAAGGTAAGCAGAAACTGGAGACAAAAGCAAATTTTTCCACTAGAGCTTTATATTGGATGAATGTAGAGTAGATGAAGAATAGCCATGGGAGGAGAACCATCAGCTGGGAGAGGATGGTGACTGGTTCTGCAAGCGTGGTCCCTGAGGTATGCGCCTCTGCATGACACCACTTTGAGAAGCAGCAGGAGCCATACCAGTACAGACTTACCCTGGTGACCCACACCCATATTCTTTGATACTTTGAGCCTTACAAAGGAGGCCTTCATTCAGAAATTCTTATCAGCGTAGACCTGGTGCAGTTTACTTGCAGCGTTCTCCAGGACAAGTTTAATCCTGAGCGTGTAACAGGTTCTGTGCATCCCAGAGATGTGCTGAAGTACTGCTATGAGTGGAGAAGTTTCCTGATCCACTGCACGGGTATGCTGAGCAATTCATCACCCATCTTGAGCTCTGAAACTGAACTGTATGTGGCTTCTTCCAGGAAGGTGAAAATAACAATGTTGGGAGTGGTAAATGTTTATAATAATACCTAGAAATTACCGAGTGTGTTTCTAACTCTTCTGCTTAGTACAGTTGTGCCACAAATGTATAGGATTCTGCCCTCCCCATCTGCCTCTTCACGTTTGCCGCTCTTTGTTTCATCTCTCCTATAGTCTCTCATACATTGAACTTCAATCAAAACTTCTGTGTCTGTTTCTCAGCTGACACAGCAGTGCTGCGTCAGGCTTGATGGGGCCTTTGGTGATCTAAGGGCAGACTCAACACCTCTTCTAGCAGCTGGGATGACAGTACTACCACTGCAGCATGCCTTGGGGAGCAGTATCTCCACCTTTGGGCATATTGCATCTGCACAGCCTGGCTTCAGCACTGTCAGTCTTTTCATGAAGGTCCGAGAGGCTGAGGAGAGGTCAAAAGCTTGCACCGGAGCCTGAGAAAATTGGCAAGGACATGGGAAAGACCCTGACGCTCAACATGAGAGTGCTAGGCTCTACTGCTTTAGACAATTGTGCTGTGCTTGTGAAGTGTCCACCTCTCTTCTGTGCCTGCAAAGGAGTTTTGCCCACTGGTGCTGGTGGACCTTCTGTGCTGTGTTGGGCCAGTTGCATGACAATCCTTCCCAGATTCCTCTGGTGAGATTTTCTTTCCTGCTTCCCTTCTTCAGGGGTATTTAACCGTCCTGCACATCCTACATAGCTTCTTGAAGTTGCTGAACATGTTGAGGGAGTACTTGTTTTGCTTACAGTCATTAAACCTGCTCAGCAGCTTGCTCTGCTCATTTGTGGGGCAGAAGAAAAGTTTGGGCCTCATCTTTCCACTGGGAATGCAGAGCAGGAGCTCACATAGGCACGATCCCATGTTTTCTAGTGCATTTCAGTGGCTGCACCCAGCATCTTTAGGGGATGTGGCAGCAGACCTGTCTGAGGGACCTGGGATGGACTGGTGTAAACAGAAATATCTACAGCCCTGTTCTTGTGCAGGTGTTTCATGTAAGAGGACCCTGCATCATGTTGCTGAGGCTGGATCCTGTTGGTGTTGGCATGCTACTGCAGCTCTTCAAGGAGGTAAGAGCCACCTCCATGCATATTTAGGAAGCAAGGAGTCTTGCAAATGCAAAGCTTTCATTAATGGTTACGTCACTGGCAAAAGGAGTGAGCTGGGCTCATATTCATACCTCATCCCACCTGCCTGTGTCCTGGGCTGCTCCACATCCTGTCAAAGTGGGGCATCCTGTGTGGATTTGGTCATTGTCTCACATCCTTCCCTTCATATCCTCTTCCTGCTGATAACTAGGCCCACTGGCATTACAGTGCCCAATTCCATTTCTATGTATTTCCTTTGGAAGGAGAGAAGGAAAAGACATCCGAACATGCTTTTTGCTGTGTTCAGCACAGAGCAGCAGTGACCAAAACTCAGGCTTTTCCCATCTAGCTGTACTATATCTGGCCACTGAATCCTCCTCAGTGGAACATTTCTGGGTTTTATGAATTTCCAGAAATGCCTATAGATAAGTGTGTTTGAACACCATGATGTTTTGTGGTGGAGGATGTGAATTTCAGTGCTGAAATAGAGGTGAAAGAAGGATGTTGGACCTCCTATGTTCCTGGGTGCATGGTCTCCAAGACCTGTGCTATTAGGGAGTGAGGAGGCAGGCTCCCTTCCACTTGTGCTTGAAGAGGAAATGGCAGGTACATTTTATGGAAAGTCCTGGCAAGGCATTTATGTTTGGTGAGCTCCAAGAACATCTGTAGTAGAGCATGAGGTATTGCCTAATGCTCGGATCCTGACTGAGCCCAGGTACAGCTGTCTAGAGACATTCACTTGGAAGTGGGAATCAGTATGCATGTTTAGCCAGAGGGGAGTTTTCCCCTTTCTGATTGCAGAAAGTGTGTAGACAACACTTCCAGATAAGATCCTTTTAGCTGGCAGAAATTATCTGATGTGATTCCCACATCCTGTGTTGGCTGATCAGACTGAGGAGTACCAATTATAGACATCTGTTTCCCAGACAGGAACAGGATATATCTCATCTAATTTTAGATGTCTGCATGGTAAACCTCTGTCACTTACCTGGACAACCTGAGCTCTCCTCTTCAGCAGATAGAGAGAAATACCTTCATGGTACGTTTCATCTTACCTGCTTCAGATGTCTGCTGCAGCGTGAGCTGACTCCCAGGAAAGCTTTGCCTCTTCCCACTGACCAACACTGAAGAAGCCCAAGCTGACAATCTTGGATGGAGAGATTTACACCATAGTTGCTTTCATGTGCTGATGTCCATGAGAAATTACTGGAGGGAGAGCAGGTCACAACCAAACACTAGCTGGAGACAGTGGAAATCTCTTTATAGAACCAGAAGCAGTTGCTTATCTAGCAGAAAACACACACCTGGTGACCTTTTAATGTATATAAATATCAGAGGAGAGGGTGTTGAGAGGATGGAGTCTCTTTTCAGTTGTGCCGAGCGACAGAATGAGAGGCAATGGGCACAAACCAAAGCACAGGAGGTTCCAGCTGAATATGAGGGGGCATTTCTTCACTGGGAGGGTGACAGAGCACTGGGGCAGGTTGTCCAGAGAGGCTGTGGAGATAATCAAACCCCACCTGGATGCCATCCTGCTCAATGTGCTGTAGGTGATCCTGCCTGGCAGGGTAGTTGGAATAGCTGATCTTCAGAGGTCCCTTCCAACCTCAGCCATTATGTGATTTTTTTAAAAGTTTATGCTCTTTTAATCTCTTTAGAAAGGCAAAAATAAGGGTGTTTTTGCCCTTTTTTATGTTATCACTAGGGCAATGTTATCACCCTGACAGAGCACCTTGAGAAGAACCATCAAATGTTTTACTTCCTTCCTTCCTTCTTTACTTCCTTCCTTTTCCCCCTAAATTTCTTTACATTTAATTTGACTATTCACCTCACCATTTTAAGTTAATATCATTCTTTAAACTGCTCTAACAATTATTCACACCTATAAACTTCCTTTCAGCAGCCTTGTTACAATTTTGTCCTAGATCTATTATCTGCAGCAGCAAACTCTGCTCCTGCTTGCTGCTGGCTACATTGCAGCACAGCTTTGACAGGCAACTCAAATTTTCTAATCAAATTTGTTTTTTCTTCTGTTCTTGCAGTTTGTGCAGTCCCAGTAAGAGTTTGTTCTGATTTCAGCAGTCTAAGGACCAGACAGCTCATCCAAACTAGTCATCTCACTCCAGCTGCAGTCGATAGGGAGTGATAGTCCTTTGGGACGTGATTCATCCCAGATGACTTAGAACCCAGTGTCTTAATGTGCTGGTTCACACTTAGGCACGGCTGTCTATCTCCATTGACTATAGCCTGCTGATTATTTGAGAGTAGACATTTAGTGTTTTGATGACTTAATTTAGCCTGGATTAATTTAATCTACTGGGTTTTTGTGACTTGCAGATAAAAGACAAACTGATGAGATCAGCTATGTAGCCAGTTCTTCATCCTGTGCTTTAATATCATTCTCTGGTTAGCCTCTGTGGAGTTCAGTAGCTCCAGGGTAAGTGGGATGAGTGAGGTGGGGGAGGTCTGGCTTGTAGTCTGGGGACTTCTGTGCTCCTCCTGTGGATGATTTTTCTGTGGTCTGGGTGCATTTCTAACACAGTGTTCTAAATCCCATATTAATGTTTGTCTGTATTGTTATTTTCCAAAAGTAACTTAATGGTACTTCTGGGAAAACTGGAATTAACAACTCCCCAACTATGTGGCATGTGGACAATATCTTTGTTCACACTGCACCAGACTCAGACTTGATTTGCACTGTCCCTTCCTTGAGAAATTTACAGGGAGATGCTAAAAGACCATATGAGCTATTGCTCTTGTGGTATCTAATGATGTGAACCGTGCTAAGATTCCTGCTGAGTTTCAGACAAATACCATGGCCCTGTGATAACAAAAAGATGGTGGTTTGGATTCCCTGCTGGGTGCCAGTGTAGCAGAGCCCAGGCTCCCAGGAAATGCTAAACAGGAGCTATGTTTCAAGGATTAATTAGTTTCTTGGCCAAGTCTCATTACCCACTTGGGATATATGTATTTCATTATAGCTGCCACTGAGAAGCATGTTTGATTTGGAACAAAATTCAAGTAGGAACAAGTTTCAACATCTGCATTTCCACTGAGAGCACAATGAGAGACAAAACAGGTTAGAGCATGCTTGGCCAAGGGTGGGGACCTGTCAGGAGAGAAAGGGAGGGCAGTGCATGAATCAGTTACAGGGAAAGGGAAGGAGCAGCTAGAAGAGATGATCTTCCTCCCCTTGCAAAAGGGATACTCTAAGTCCCAGTTATCAAGCGTGCAGTTGGCGGAGCTGCGAGAGGGAGCTGAGAGCCTGCTCCTCCCATAGGGTGGGAGGCTGTACCTCGTGATTCACTTCCAACCGGAGGAGTGGAGCTCATGCTGAGTCCTGAAGGAACCTGTTGGGAGGAACTCAGGAGTGCAGGAAAGGGACAGAAAATACCTGGAATCAGCCGGAGGACTGACACGGCTGGAGAGGCTCTTCTTATCATCAATAGCTCTGGTCATGTTCAACTACCTGGCAGTAGAGGTGAGACCCCAGTTCCACCGCAACTATGGGAGCCAGCAAGGGATGTCTGGGCCACTAAGGAACCGCCTGGAGCAGCTGAAGAAGCCGTGGTGGAGGGAGCCCACCCCCCTGGTGCTCCAGCACAGTGAAACAGCCAGGCTTGCCGTTGACGCCTTTCTTGAGCAGGGGGAACGCGGCTACCTGAGTGCCATCACTGAGGAACGGGAGCTGCCTTTTCTTTCCACCCTGGACATGGAATATATGAGCCACCAGAGAAACCTAAGCTATCCAGAACTCGATACAATCAAAGACAAAGAGGGTGACCCCGGTGATGCAGATACTGGAGACAGGTCCTCCCTCTGCTCCGAACTAACATCTGGCACCTACTTCCCACTCATGTCTGATGTGCACCCTCCTGAGCTGGAGCTGGGGTGGCCAGGAATCCCACTCCTCACAGTGTCTGGCCAGACTCAAGCCACTGTGATTTTCCAAAGAAACAAAGCTAACAGCATTAAGGATTTGTTCCGGTCTCTGATCAGCCGGGCACGGACGGTATGTATAGAACTGTGTCCCTCCAGCGGGGTCTTCTGCTCCAGCCCCCAAGTCCTCGTGTCTGGTCCTACAGCTGTACAGCACATGCTCCAAGCTGGTGCTGCTGTCTAGATGTCTGGCATGATGTGATTCTCTTTCTCTAGCACATCTGTAACTGTTCTGCTTCTTTCCTTTCCTGTAATTTCTTTCCACCTCAGATTTCATGTCATCCAGGCAATATGCTTTAAGGCATTCACGTCTGTATTTGTGGGTATGCAGAGCACGGTACCAAAGCCTGGAGCAAGTGGCAGGGTGTACAGTGTTAAAGCTTCGCTGTCCTCAAGCAGCAGTCATGCACCTGCTGGCCCTCCTGCCCTACACCAGGGAGTCCACATGGCCAGGGCTGGCCTTGACCCCTGGATACCATGTCAGGCAGAGCAATGGGATGGCACTGGTGAGTTGCTGTGGGAGAACAGGACCTGAGTAAACTTGTGGGACTGAAAATCCCTGCCTGTGGTTTGAAATAGTTCAGAATACATCGTTGTGTCTTCTAGACTTGATGTCTGTGTCTCTCTGAGGATGAGTAAGATTAGCTCTCTTTGCCCCATCACACAGCCTCTGCTGAGTGGTGATTGCCAGCCTGTGGATGTAATAATAACTGGACAACTACCATACTGGTATATGAAGCATAATCCTGGCTGGGATATACTCACTGACCTATGCTTCTTTGCATACAACACTTGTTGCTTCTTTGTACTTTGCCATTATACTGTGTACTAAACGAGCAACTCAGACACATTTTTAGCTTTTGTTAGCTTTGTCCTCTTCATGGTTCTTTTCAATTTTTCCACATCCTTCATATCCCCTTTTTTTTTTTCATACAATTTCGTTCCAGTAGTGTAGTGATATTGAGTTAACTTTCAGTGCAAATATTTCTCTTTTAATTCAGCTCATAGGTAGTTTCTCTTATTGGACTTTAGCTTTGTCAAGAACGAGTCATTTCCAGGCAGACTGAAGGAAAGTGCTATCTTATACCACCACCCACAGAACTGAACAAACATAGTTATGTTGTCCTCAGTAGATGAAACTGGGGCCATGCAGCAGCTCAAATTGCTGTGTAGCTTTGTAACATTGTTGAACAACCACATATAATTGAAATTTAGGCATGACATGAAGAAAATGAACGTCTTCAATTTTTATCCAATAGTAGGCCATTTTGGCTCAGTCGTAAGCAGCTGTTGCTTAATACCTGAATTTCTGTTGGGCTTTGTAGGCAAATATGGGAAGTTTTTTTCCAGGAAGTAACAAACAAAAAGCTTTGTTTGTCTTTGCAGGCAGACAGTTTATAACATTTTAAATGAACTGATAAATCCTGTGACACTTCAGCAGTGGGGATTAAGACAGTCATGGCAGAATGCACAAAGTAAATGACTACCGAGAAATGTCCCCTTGTTTCTTAGCACGCCCCGGATCTCTGATGACATTTTGATCCTTTAAACCATGTGAAAAATATCCTGCTGCTTTTTCAGTTCAGAGGAACTTCCTTGTTGCTGCAGAGAGGCTGCTTGGATATCAGGTACTTTATTGTGCTCTGAGTACTTTTTGAGCTTTTTATTTTTGCTTGGCTTGAAAAAGCACTGATGATCTTCAGCCCTTTATTTTCAAACTGGGGATTTTCTCATAGTGTTTTTGACTTTTGTGTGAAATGTGATAATGAGTTTTCAATCATCTTATTGGTTCCCTATTGGTGTTTTACTGGCTTCTGTGTTAGGAGCTCTGGCCAGTACTTCCCATGATTAACTCTGTGATTGACAGCAGTTCCAGCTCATCCACAACCCCAGTTACACATCTTTAAGTAGTTACTGAGTCATTTTGCTCTGCAAACCAGTCATTTTGCCCTTCAAACCATCCAAAAGGATGTTATTTGTATGTTTTCTAATACCAAAAGGGCAACCAAAGGTAAGAAACATCTTTTGCCTGAAGTGCCAGTAGCAACTGCACAGAGAGCAGCTTCCTATTTTGCAATAGTTAGCAAATATTTTCTCCACTAGACATAAATTCTCCTCATATTCCTCCTTCAGAGTGTTTGTTCTCCTATGTGCTTACAGGTAACAAAGAAGAGGGAAACAGTGCCAGTGAGATGTAGGAAAGATGCTGAGATCTCTGAATGCTTTTCATTGGTCCTATAGACCGGAAAGCATGTGTTGAAATGTTGTTTGCTGTTTTCTCCTGTACAGTCATAGTGAACAACATCAGCTGACTTATTTTGCAACAGCATATTTGTACTGACAAATTATCAAAATGGGCATTTGTTTTATTGGTACCTTTTCCTGGTGTGGTTTGTTTTTCTACTTTACTGTATTTAACCAGCTGTCTTTGAAGATGTATTTTCAGATTTGAGCTTTTCCCTTTGCAGACTTAAGAAGTTGCAGTGCAGCCACACCTTAGCCTTCACTTGATAATACTATTATAATTATACTTTTGTTGGATGAGCTCCAAGCTATCCAACTGTAGGGGTCGGGTCCATACTTCTTCTTTTGCCCCTCTTGTACAGCTCTGACACTGGCTGTGTGTTTGCATTTGCAAGTGATGGTAGAAGGGTCCTTGGTGGTCCCCCAGAGAAGCAATGTATTGCTGCTAATGGCAACACTATAGTAATAACCAAAACCACACTGCTATTGGCAAATACCAGTAAAACCAGCTGTGCTGGTTAGAAACCAGACAGATGGCAACCCCAGTGGGGTGCTGTTAAATGCTGTAATTCCCAAAGTGATGACTGCAGTAATTGTTGAATTGTGAGTTTCCAGAAGCAGATCCAGAAACATCTTGCTTTAACCCTACAATGGCAAGGTGTGAATTTTCTAGAGCCTTTAGGACAGCTGTGTCTTTGCGGTGTCTTGGTGAGGAACAAGGAGGTTCTGAGCCAGCTCCAGCTTCGCAGCTAACAACCACTGAGGCCAAGGAGCTGGGCCCTGGACACGCAGGGTCCATTATTACCCCAGAGTGACTTAAATGTTTTTAAACTTGAGTTGTCAGGAGCGTGAATTGGAGATGGCTTTTAGGTACCTAACTTCCACTGCTGCAGAGAGCTGCTGGAAATTATCTTTGAGGGTTTAGACCTCACTTTTGTGACAATACATTCTTAGGATGTTTCAAGGGGAAGACTTCCAGTGTCTTCATCCTCCAAGACATCTTGTCTTTGGGTTTTAACTGATGTTATTATTTAAGCTGCCTGTTTTGTTTGTCAGGAGGATACGTCAATCTGAGTGGCCCTTACAGTTGTCCTGTGGCACCCACACTTGGTACAAGCAGCCCCTCCGCAGGTACCTGTTCCTCCACTGCATGAGGCTGTAGTAGGGCACAACCTCCCCTCTCCCAACTGCAATGCACAGTGTGTGAGGGGCTGCCAGCTTTCTCCCCTGATATCAGCTGTGGGTGCACACCAGTGCCGCCAGGAACAACTCTACCCAAATCCCTCCAGTGAAGGGGCTGCATGTGAGAAGGCCATGAACAGAGCCAGCAGCCATTCTACCTCCTGATGCCAAGTGAAGACCCACGTCAGAAAACATGAGTCTGACTATCACATGGGGCTCCACCCAGCTTGCACAAGCTGATGTCCCACTGCCTGGGGTGCCTGCTCCCACAGCTACATCAGAGCCCTGCCACAACGCTGCCAGGAGATGCAGATCTGCTTGGCAGCTGGCTGCACCCCAGCCCAGAGCACTTGGTGCCACGGTGTCCCCATGCTGCCATACAAAGCTGTAATAGCACCTGCTCAGCTATATCCCTCTTACAGTGAGTACTATAGACTGGCTGTACTGGTTTGGGGCAGTCAACAACCCCAAGCTCTGCCAAAGCCTGTGAGCACTGGTAGGGAAATGCAACCTGGTGTGGCCTTCTGTGCCCTTCAGGCGCATGTGGTGCCCCTGAGCTTGGAGGGTCTGGAGCCAAAGGATCATCAGTCTCTCTTGACTCCATCATATTGACTTTTCAAGGCATGTTTAGATTGTCCCTGGAGAGAAGCCTGCCCCAGGAACTATGTCTGAGATGAGCTGGGCTATCAAGAGGCAAGTGTGGCTCAGAGGGACTTGCCTGGGGCTCTACACAAGGTTTGGGCTATAGATTTTTTTCCTGGTTCTTCCTCGTTAAAGAATGAGTGGCCTATGAAAGTCATTTGGCTAAATTGCCTGGTCTTTTAACCCTTGGTCTTTGGCTGAAGGCTACTGTGGAAAGACAGGGTGAAGTCCTGCTCTTTTGCGTAGGTCTCAGTGGTACCTAATGCTGACAACCCAGCAGTAATTTTGATTTGGAAAGTTGAAAATGCTTCTTGCTAACTTCAGGGTGCTCTCAGGACTGACTCTGCTGGATGATGGGATTTCAGGAAGGGAGAATAGTTTGCCAGAGCATCATAAGGCTTCTAAAAGACATTAGCAACAGAGGCCATGAAAAGAACTTTTTAGAGTCAGGCTCTGAAGCCCATATCTGCCAGGGCGAGAGGGTGGAGGAGACATAATTTTGGCCTGGGCAGTAGGAATGTTTTTTAGTGTGTGTTGAGGAGCTTGTTGAAAGCACCTGTCACTTTCTGACAGCTGTCTTGTGTCCCGTGTGGATGCCTGGGATCACACCCTCCAGGAAGGTACTCCCCCAAATCCTTCTGTGGTGGGCTGGGGCTGAGGTCTCCTGGAAGACAGAGAGGACCGATGTCATTGTGAGGTATGTCACCAAGATGGTCTTTGGGGACAATTCAGATAGAGCCAGAAACCTTGTCCATCCACAAAAGGGTTAAATCCCCAAGAACTCAGATAGCAACCTTTTGGCATTGCTGCCCACCTCTGCTGTGGTCCTGGTGCAGACGGTCCAATGGCTTGTAAGGACACAGCAGGGCTGAGAGGAACCAGCCTGACAAAGTACTGGGCACGAGGGCATGGGGAGGCCAGCAAGGCCCTGTTCTGTCTATGGCAGCTGCCTCCAGCCAGCACCTGAACCATGAGTGTGGGCTTGGAAAGAGGCCGTTTGGTCATAAAAACACACAGGAGAGCTACTGGGTGGCAGGCGATCTGAGACAGTTTGCCTGTTCTGGGCTTCACAGTACAAGAAACTCAAAATTCAAAACCCAACTAGATACAGTCCTGGACAACCATCTTTACTTGACCCTGCTTGAGTAGGGAGGTTGGACTAGACAATCCTCAGAGGTTCCTTCCAACCTTGACCATTCTATGAGTCTATGAAGCAGAGACATGGGCATGTCCTCACATCCAAGGACAGCAATAGAGCTCCTCAACTCTTTTCTTTGTCTAACCTGTGAACATGATTCAGCCTGCTCCTGTTTTAAAGTTTGAACCACTGCACACATGAAAGTCAGCTTCACTGCTGTCTTCTGCGTTTAACTCTTTATTTAAAGAGGAGCAGCTGAGCAGAAGCAGCAGAGAGAAGCTCAGCCTATATGGTCTGCTCCATAGGGTGGTTTGGGCTATTGAGAATTGTATTCATGGCCATGCTCTAACAGGGGCAGAAGAAGTGTTTGGAAACAGGCTTCCCACTCTCCCAGTGTGCATGATTAGCATCAGGAATATGCTATGTTGTGGATTTTGTGTGCAAAGTGTAGTGCAGGGCACAAACATTGAGTAGCAGGGAAAAGAAAGCCATGGAAGAGTCACTCCAAACCTCAGAGCTTTTGGGATGTATATATTTGGGCATCCTTATGATCAGAGGACCGGAGCACCTGTTGTGCAAGGACAGGCTGAGAGAACTGGGCCTATTTAGTCTGGAAAAGAGAAGACTGAGGGGAGACCTCATCAATGTGTATAAATATCTGAGGGGAGGGTGTCGAGAGCATGGAGCCAGTCTCTTTTCAATTGTGCCCAGCGATAGAACGAGAGGCAATGGGCACAAACCAAAGCACAGGAGGTTCTGGCTGAGTATGAGGGGGCACTTCTTTACTGGGAGGGTGACAGAGCACTGGGACAGGTTGTCCAGAGAGGTTGTGGAGTCTCCTTCTCTGGAGATAATCAAACCTCGCCTGGATGCCATCCTGTGCAATGTGCTGTAGGTGATCCTGCCTGGCAGGGTGGTTGGAATAGATGAACTTCAGAGGTCCCTTCCTACCTCAGCCATCCTCTGATTCTCTAGTAGGTGGAGAAACTCAAAATTCTCCTTAAGCATGCAACTTACAAGTAAGAGTTATCTTATTTAATGCTAAGGTATGGTAAGGACCAAAACTAAAGTTATTGATCACTAATTCCAGTATTTTTTCAGCTTTTGAAATGAAGCTGGCCTGTCTGTATATCTTTCGCTACTTTACTTTCTTCAGTGTGATGTCAACTTCCCTGAGTTCTCAGTGTTAACTGTTACTGGTCTAAGTCATGAGATAGCTCTGCAAGCACTCTTGGGTGAAGTGCATCAGGCCTGGTGCTAATCATTCAGCTCAGCAAGTGCTATCCTTTTGTCTCCAAGATGTCACCCTATCGTGATGGCCAATGGATGGATCCCAGCAGTCCCCTTCTGATCCAAATAATAGCCTTCTTGAAGGCGTCTGCAGGCAATGTCACTCTGAGGAAGAGTGGAACAGCTTTTCCAGTTACATTTTGGTCTACTTATGGTTGATTTCCCTTGATCCATTGTGCTTGTTGCAGGTCATACTGTAATATGAATTTTCTAGTTCTGGGACAACTCACTTGTACTAGGTTCTTGTAAAGACGTACCTTCTACTTTCTGGGGTTTCCTTCTACTTTTTTCAAGAATGCGTTCATCCATTGGATGGGTTGCCATTGTATTCTTTATTCTCTCTCTCTCTCTCTCTTTTTTTTTTATTTATTTTCAATTTTAAAACCACATCCCTTGCAAATCTTTTTAAAAAATCTGTTCTGTTTGTTTAATTTTAGTGTTATACCTTCTTTCTACCCTTAGAATTCTCGACTGTCTCTTTATGGTGACTCTTACTAACATGGTTTAAAATATCTATCTGCTTATTGGAAAGTCAAATTCAGAAGAGCTCTCCAATTGGTCAGTTTTCTATGTGTTGAAATAGAAATTTTTCATTTTCTATGAAAACAAATCAGTAGTGCATTCCAAGGTCTTCATAGACAATATCTGCCCTGCTATGTTTCTTTGCCAAAAAATGACTGGACAGTTAATAATTCATCTTTGTCACAAAAGCCTGAGATCCGGACAACTGCCAATTGCCTGTAAAAAGACTATCCACTTGATCTTTCTGACCCAGTGAGGGCAATCCCTGGTATAATGATGTGTATGTTCTTTTCCACATTATTTATGAGACAGATTCTTTCAGCCTGTTGATGTCATCATTAAGGCCACTCTCTGAACACATCTGAAATGTTATTGCATTTAGGGGAAGTTTCATGAATGGAAAAGGGCAAACATCACATCCATCTTCAAAAAGTGCAAGAAGGAAAGTCCAGGGAATTACAGGTCTGTTAGCCCCACCCTAGGAAAAAAGTGTGGAGCAAGTCCTCCTGGAAGGTAAATCCAGGTAAATGAAGAATAAAATATGAATATGAAAGCCATAGTGTGCCTGTCCAACCTGATTCCCTTCTGTGAGTCAATGATAGGCCATGTAGATTGGGGAGGAGCAGTGGACACTGGGTACCTAAACTTTAGCAAAGACTTTGACATGGTGTCTCATAGTCTACTTATAGCCAAACTGGTGAGACATGGTTTGGATAGTTGGACCACAAGATAGGTGAAAAAAAATTGGCATTATCACTGCACTCAGGTGGTCCAAAGTCTAGCTAATGGCCCGAGGGGGTCAGTACTGGAGCCAGTACTGCTTAACCTCTTTATTAATGATCTGAATGATGGGATAGAGTGCAACCTGAGGAGGCTTGCAAGCAATACCAAAATAAGAGCAGTTAATGTGCTGGAAGGTGGGGTTTCTGTTCAGGGGGATGTTAGCAGTCTAGAGAATTTGGCTGATGGAAACCCCAGAAAAGAAAGACAAATGCACAGTCCTGCATGTAAGAGGGAACAACTGCATACAGCAGGACGCACTGGGGACAACAGCCTAGAAAGCAGCTTTCTGGAAGAAAGCTCTGGGGTCCTGGGAAGAGGTCACCAATGTGCCTTGCCTTGTGCCAAAGAAAGCTGACTACATCCTGGGCTGTGTTAGCAGGACTGGCACCAGCAGGGAAGCAGAAGGGTTCTTTATTCTATGATTCTGTCTAGTTGCCCATAGGATGTGATCAAGGACATGTACATACTTGAGCAACATACCTTCTCCCTTACCTGTCAGTGTGTACTTCATGAAGAAATTATACTTCTTGAGATTAATATGCTAGTCATCTATGGAATCACTCTTTAAATTGAATCATGATTTTGGTCAGTCTCAGTTCTTCCTGTTTGTATGCTATGTTTCTGACGCATTTGCTTAAGGCAATATGTAATTGTTGCACCAATGACATTGAGAGCTTCTGCACACACATTACCCTTTCAGCTATTTCTTTCTGTGAATGACAGCTGGATGAGGCAGGAGGTAGCAGGACAGGGAATGTCTTCAGAGTCATTAAGAGTGCTTTTATCTGCCATGGTGGGGTAAGGACTATTAAATACAAAGGTCCAGAAGCTATCTCCGCTCGTGGCCATTGACACTCTGTAAGTCTGGAAGTTTGACTACTTAATTCATGGTTTGAAGTACAATTCACTTGGGCATGAAGTTTCAATACTCGTCTTTTTTTTTTTTTTTCCCTCCTCTCTTCCTTCCCCCCACCCCCTTCTCCTGGCTAGGTGATAGCAATTGTGATGGATCTGTTTACAGACATGGAAATACTGTGTGACCTACTGGAGGCCTCAAGCAGACGGCATGTCCCTGTTTACCTGATCCTGGATGAAGAATACTTGAAGCATTTTGTGGAAATGTGCAATAAAATGTCTCTTACTCAGGACAGCTTTCCAGTAAGTTTTTAATCACACTTCAAATGTAACAACTGAGTCTTGGAATTGATAAAAAACATGAACTCTTTGTTCTGTTCTCTTCGACTGATCTCTAGGACCTGTTTTCCCATTGCCCCAGGCTAAGGGACCGAGGTCTGGTAAATTGAGATCTTTATGGAAACATGGGGGTTAGAGTGGAAAAGCCCTTCTAGTCCCATGTCTTGATGACTTGTGGTCCTCATTTCAGATTTACACTCAAGAGATGTGAAGTCAAGCCAGTAAGATGCAATGCATTACTGGAAGCTTTGCTGCACTGGTGAATGTAGGATTTGCTTCTATGCTTGTGAATCAGTTTGGCACCTGGGTTGATGAAGGATTTGTGAAGAGCCTGATTCCCCACTCATTGGGGTGTCCATCATCAATGCTGTGAGGTATCCCGAGCAAGGCAAACACTGAAAATTAATGTGACAGTGAGACAAGCTCTCTTGGGAACTCCCAGACTCAGAAATTTACCCCAGTGGCATGCTGTCCCTCATATAACCTTTCTGGTTAACACCTACCAATGGAGGATGATTTTTGATATCATTTGTTAGTTCTGCAAGGCCAACACCTAGGGGCTATGCTCTGCATTGTGTGCCTTCCCTAGAATGATGAGGCTGATAGACTTCCAGCCATCCATTTCATAGATTTTCCCCTCATCTAGGGAAAATACAAAAATAATATTTTACAGCATTCAGAATAGATACAGTTGCAAATGTCTGAATTTCTTATAATGTTTAATCTGTCTACACAAAGATTAATTTAGACATGCATCCTTTTCTCCTCATGTTGGTGATGCACTGTCCTTTCTTGCTAATCACAAGTCAACCCCATTTCATCCTGCCTGTTGAGATGGCAAGTGTTAGAGAAAATATGCTTCATGCATGTTTGGTTTCATAAACATTTCAACAGCATTACTGAAGTCACCTAGTGGATCCAGATAAATTCAAACTCTCCAAAATGTATTTTGTTTGCTTCTTATCCAAAAGTATGGCCATTGTTTTTAATGTTAACATTGGTTTACATCCATGGAAATGTCTACGTCTCTTTGTTAGACCTGATGTGATGTCTTGTGCTTTAATGGCTAATTAACACTTGCCTCACCCATTCAGTGACTCATCCGCAGGTTTCAATGTCAAGTCCCTCTTAGGTTTCTGAATCTTAAGCAGTACATTAACATACACGATTGATAGTCACTTCAATGAATGTACATATTTTATTCCTGGTTCTGAGTTGAGATTGGATATGATGGTAAATCTCCATTTGTAAAAAATTGGTGACGATATGGAGTTTAATGAGGATTATGGGACAATTTCTCCTGTAGCTTCTTACTTCTGAGAACATTCTGTGAGCTTAATTGTGTCATATCTTACCGCTGAGCATCAACAAATCCTGCAGTAGTTCATCAGGAATTGCCAGTGGTCACAGCAGAAGATTTTTGGATATTTTTTTTTTTTTCAAATGACCTTCTATTAAATTTAAGACTACTAAGCTGAGTGAGAATGATACACATTGTCCTGGCTTTCCTTCAAGACTGCAGTATTCTCATCTTGCCTGGACAATTCAGGGCCTGGATTGTCATGAAGAAGAAGAAGATGGAAAAAATGAGATAGGTATCAGAAACTCACATGGCTTTGGAAAGGAGAGAGGGAGTAAAGATATGCTATGGAAATAAATCTACACAATAACCCTTACTTGGAGTGGTTTTAACTTCCACAGGGGAAGGGTGGGCTCTTTCCATTGAGAATTACTATTACTAAAACTTCAGCATTGGAAGAAAAAAAAACCTGTGTTGAATGGCAACAGGATTAGGTGAACACCTCCCCAAGCATCCAGTGTATCTTCCTCTATTTCAGCAATTTGTGGTGGCGTTTCATAGTATCATGGAATAATCCATGTTGGAAGAAACCTCAGGAAGTCATTAGGTCCAACCTCCTGCTCAAAGCAGGGTCACCTGGGAGGTCTGGTCTTGAAAATTTCCAGGCATGGAGACAGCACAATCTGCCCAGTTAACTTGTTCTAATGCTTAACTGTCTTCATGGGGAAAGATTTCATCCCTTCTAATGGATGACAAATCAGAACATGTTCTGGGTTGCAAGGTAACGAATGAGAGCCAAGTGCAAAGTGCAAAGACTGTGAAACTTCAGCTCTGTCCCTGCTAAAATTTTCCATGAGCTCAAGACAAGACTCAACAAATATGAGAAGAGAATAGGGCCAGGTGGGGTGCCCACTGGGACAAGCCACAAGAGGCTCAAGAATTTCCCTTAGCAGAAAACAGAGGTTTCAGCAGTATTAGGGGGAAGTGTCATAAATGATTGCCAGAGCTGCCATGACCCGCAGCAAGAGATAGTGTTGGGTTAGATGGACACCTGCGTAGAGGAGCCCTGAAGGCAATGGTGGACATTGCATGGGCGGTGAGACTTCCTCACTATGATGTGTGAGTCAAGCCTTTCCTGACCTGCTGCACTGAGCTCCCCAGAAGATGTTTCTGCGAAGCCAACCTCCTGCCTCCAGGGCCTCTGATGGAAGAGGAAGGCTGGCAGGAGCAGAGCTGAGCTGGGCCTCCCGCAGGGTGGTTGCCTCCAGCTCCTCATCCCCGAGGCACAACTTCTGTGCTGTGAGCTACACGTGAGGCCAGACGCTGAGCAAGCCAGTCCCTGGCTGCGTACAGGCAGCCCCATGAGCCCATTCATGGTCATCCTGCCAGGGAAGAGGGGAAGGAGAAGGGAGCTGTTTTCATGAGCAGCTCCTGGGGAGCATCAGGGAAAGGACACGAATCTGTAACCTGCGAAGAATGTCTGCAGGCAAATGAAAACTATTTGTGTCTTTTGTTTCATCCTGGCAGTGGCTGTTAAAAACTGCTGTGTTTGGCCAGACTGAAATCCACAGCATGGTGGAGGATGGAACCCACCTCTGTGGAGGGGCAAAACAGCCCCATCAATTTGTGCCACCCATACCTACCTCTGCTGCCATGGGTCTTCACCTTTTAGGGTACTGATGCCAAGCAGGGATGAGCTGCCCATGAAGGAATCCACCTGTTCAAATGCAGGTGGGGACAGTTTGTGATAGCTCCTGGTGTGCCAAGGCCACTACAGGTGGCCATGAGCTGGCATGGAAGGGCAGAAGGGATGATCTGGCAGGCCCCTGTAGGTGCAGCCTTGGAAATCTTTCTTTACACTTGAGATGTTTTGTTGGCACTGTATTATACAGACCAGCCCAGTAACTGTTTCCAGTGACTGTTCTCCTCTTCTGCTTGCCCCAGCTGAGGTGCAAATAACTTTTATTATGGGCAAAAATTTCCCCTTATGAAAGAGGCTCCTGTTGGACACCGGGAGCCTTGTTTCCTATTTTGAACAGGGCAATCAGTTCTACAGGCTGAAGTTGGATCAGAGAAGTTCTTTGCAGTCTTTAAAAGAGGTGAGGATCAGGTTGGTTTCACCTGAGTACAGCAGCAGAAACTTAATACTATTTGAAAAAATACTGGTAAAAGGTCGTTCTTAAAATGTAGGCATACTGTTCTGTAAGTCTTTTATATTGAGCAATACTTTGGCTTTAGGAAGCCTGTCACTGTATAAAAACAGAAGAGCATATTTAATTTGATTAAAAATATTAGCAATAACCTGGAAGAAACTCTATAGTCTTGCATACTTCAGAGATGATCTGTAGGATCATAGAATTCTTTTTTTTTTGAAACAGCATTTGTACCTGAGTGCAGCTTTTTAATATTTGCTGGAATTTTTATTTTATATAAACAGGCATTATTCCAAAATACTTCATATGTAGAAGTCAGAAAATAGTGCTATGCCTTGCTGCATTCTACCTCTAGAACCAGAGCTTCTGCTTGAGAGAGTCTAATCATTGATGCATAGGGAAATATTTCAGTTTTGTCCAACACACATCCCCTTACCATCTCTACTTTCTTTGGTTTCAGAACATGCGCATAAGATGTCTGAGTGGAGACACATATTACAGCAAAGCAGGCAAGAAATTTGCAGGCCAGGTTCTGGAGAAGTTTATCCTGATAGATTGCGACCAAGTTCTAGCTGGTACATACAGGTGAGAAAAAACAGTGACTACCAATACAAAGATTGGTGACACTGCAAAAACACGCGTTTCCAAATAACTGAGTAACTCAAAGTTTCTTTTCTGCACAATAAAGATGCACTGCTGTTCCTCTTCATTTCATCCTTATAAACATCCTTTTTCAATTTAGTGGTTTACCTTCCACCCCATCATCTTGCCTTTATTTTGCTGTTCAACATTCAGATAGCATTAACTGCCTGTCTGCCAACACCGATGCTTCCTGGACACATCTGTCTACAAGTATCACTTAAATTCGTGAAAATGTAAAAAATGCCCTGCCAGGTCAGATGATGTTCCACCTAGCCTAGATTTTGTCTCCAGTAGTAGCAGATGCTTTTTAGGGAGAGCAGCCCAAACTGCTATCTGTAGGGCATTTCCCTTGTCCTCCCACAGCACAAACAGTTAGGGATGTTAAGAGAGTACTTCTCTACTTCTTCCCTTCCGTATCTGTTTCGAATGTACTGTACATGAATATGCCAAAACTCATTGTCTATTTTAAACCAATCTCCTACTAATTTCATGAGTACCCCTAGTTCTAGTGCTGTACATAGGTAAAATTTCTGTCCTACCTTCAGCGAAGTCACTGTGTTCACAGCTTTCCAAGCCTTCATCTTAGCCCCTTCCCCACCCCTTTTCCTGTCCAAATTGAAGACTTTGGCCTTTTCAGTCTCTCCTCTTAAGGCAGATGCACAATCTGCTGGTAATTTTAGTAGTCTTTCTCTGCATCCTCTCAAACATCACTATGCCCTTCTTGAGATGCAGACACCTCAACTGTATGCAGCCCCCAAGGCATGGCACCAAGGTGTTACAGACTGTCAAAATGATGCTTTCTGCTTTGTAGCCTTGCTGACAGTGACTAGCACTGATTGATTGATTGATTGATTGATTGATTTTTTCTGCTATTGCACATTGGACAGTTTAAATATTTACCTTTCCTGACATTCAGTATCCATGTGCCACATTTATTTAGATGCTCTCTCCCACTACAGGGTTAAAATTGGGTTGTGAGCATTATTACAAAATGGCTCTTCTACTGCTGCCTCTTGAACTGAGTCTCATGCATCATTCCAGACCACATCCTGAATAGCACCTTTTCTTGTGGGTCAAAAAATTTAGACTAGTTAATTCTGGAAAGTAATAATTTATTGCTTCCAAAAAGTTTTTCTCCACTGCCTATTCCAGTGAAGCACTAACCTTCTCTGTATATGACTGGATGAAGAATTCTTTCACTATTACTACCTCTCCTAATTTTGCAGTTTTTGTAATCTCACTTAACATTGTATGATCACCATCACTGTTCAGACCAGAGGGTCAGGAATAGCCCTGAGTCAGGTTACTGCTTGAAACACAGATTCAGTTCTCTGTATCAATTCTTCCCTCTGCTGTTTTGGAGCAGGGATTTGGGTCTGTGATATGCTTGCTCTCTCTAGATATCCGTAGCTGTAATTTCTCAAGTTCTGGAAGATAATAATTCAGTTGAATAGGGGCCTCGTATCTGGTTCTCTGCTGTCCCACTATCCATGTGATGTTCTGGACTACAGGAACCAGTTTCTCTCTGTGGAATTTGTTTAACAGTGAACAGAAAAATTTCCACAGGAGAAAGTCAGGTATACTGCAGCCTGCTACTATATGTAGTATAGCAGATATTTAGGTTACTCTCCCTGCAGTTGGGAAAGCTAGATTCAAAAGAAGAGTATAATTACTGAGTAAAGCCAAAGATCCATATATGCCTGTATCTTGGGATGATACAGAGAAGTGGGTAAGAGCATTCTTACATAGTTCATCAGCCTTGTGTGTAAGAATCAGAGGTTTCAGGACCTCTGGGGTTGTATGTTGTGTGTTTCTTTGCGTTTGGTTTCCCATAGGAGAATTTTTCCCACCTTGGTTGTTCTGTCTTTGGCTTCCACGATACCTTCTGGCAATGGGTTATGCAGTTTAATTTATGATTTGTGTGAAGAAGTGATCCAATTTATTTACATTAAGCCTGCTGCTGTACAATTATATTTGATGCCCCCAAATTTCCATAACCTGGGAACAGTAAATCACAGTTTCCTATTTATTTTCTTGACTGCTTCCATGATTTCATCCTCCTCCATTATAATCCCTCATGTGAATCATCTCTTCTCAGAATCACAGAATATTAGGGATTGGAAGGCACCTTGAAAGATCATCTAGTCCAATCAAATACAAGCTCTTCTCAACTGAAGTATCCTCAGTTGTTCAGTCATTTCTCATGCAGAACTTCCAGACCTTTAGCCATAACGTCTATCTCTCATGATATGAATTAATTAGAACTGCACGAAGTGGTCAATATATCCCCACTCACTATATCCTTCAGCATACATGTAGTGGTGTAAGCGTGACTTCTGTCTTTTCCTTTGTCTCCATTCTGGCAGTTCCTAGTCTGCTGTTTGCTGTTTTGACTAGTGCTAAATACTGAAATGATTCTTGTTTTGAATTGTTCAAGGGAACTCTGACCTCCTTCCTAAGTGTTAATATCTAAGAACTAGTAAATATTCAGAGATCATCAGGATTTTTACAACAGTTTGCATTTATTGATGCTGGATTTTGTCTATCATTTTGTCACTTATTCACCCCATACCATAAAATACTCTCATAGTTTCTTATTATCCAGTTTTCCTTTGACCACTCAGGACAATTTTGTTTCCTATGAGCCCTGTCATGACTTTTTCCACTGCTTTTCAGAACTTTTCTGAATGTGTTGAACTGCACATATCTCAGCACAGAATCTGTGGGATTCCAGTGGGTAAATTAAAACTATTGCTAGCATTTTTCCCCATCTATAATCAACTGTTACTCTTTGGGAAGACTTTATTTTATACTCATCACTTAATCACAGAAAGACTCTGTCAAAATCTCTTTGTAAATCCAAGCATCTTAAATCAAGCAGTTTGTATGCATCTGTGTGCTGCTGCCTCCTTCAAAGAACTGCAACAGGCTTTTGAGGCATGGCTTCCTTCCACAAAAATATGCTGAGTCTTCATCATTATGAGTAAAGTTCTTTATGCATCTAATCATTTTACTCACTATTTGCTTCTACCAGTTTGTTCAGTATGGAAATAAGAGTGGCTGGTTTGTATTTTCCAGGAGCTCTTTAAAAGGTTCACATTTACTAATTTCCATTCCTCTGCTACCATGTTCAATTTTAAATTATAGGGTATTCATTGGTTAATAATTGGAAAATTGCTGACTTCCACTTTTTGAAGGCTCTTTATTTTAATATTTTCCTTTACTGTGCCTTTTAACTATGGTGACTTTTGGGATGTTTTTAAATGTCTTTATTTTGTTAGGTATGTTTGCTGAGCCTCTAATATAGCATCTTCAAACAATCTGTGCTGCCTCAAGCATTTAACCTTTTCAGTTACTCTTTTGAATTTCTTTTTAATAGCATCCCTCACTTTCTCTTATAAATTGAATGTTACTGTTGTGGATTATTTTGCTCCTGAAGGAATATTTGATACTTGTACATCATCGTTATTTTTGCCGACTGGCCTTTCCAAAGGAACTTTCTGAACTGAAATGTTATTTCTCCTTTTTTTGGTTTTCTGGTTAGTTTCTTCCCCAAAGCAGTCATTTATAGTGTGCAAAATGCCTTTTCTGCAACTCTCCTAGTCATGGCCCCTATTCAACATGGATATAACTGAGTGTCTCTTTATTCCTCTGCTTTCTGCCTTCATAGCCCCTTAGCACGCCATATTTACCATCAGCACTCTGCTCAGAAAGTTCACAGGCAAGTCCCGGTATTATGGTTTCCATATTTGGGATTGGAATTTTAATCCAACAGGAATATATTTCATTTGATGATATATCATTTACATTGACTTATTTTTCTTTAATGTGTTGTGCTATTGTCCCAGCAACATATCCCTTATTTATTCTTTCTGTATAGTTTCTGCCCTTGCAATTGTTCCTTGATTTTCCTCTACCCAGTAAGTGTCTGAGATGCCTCCTGTGTTAGCCATCATTTCAGCTCAGGTATTCCACAACATCTATCTGTTTCTTTAGTTTAGAAAATCTAGTTCCTTAGTATTATTCTGAGCACCAGAAGAATTAATATGTTTCCTTGAGCATATTAAAATAACAGAGTGAAGGGTATGAAGACATTTACTAATGCAGATGAGAGAGGAGCCTAAGGGTAAATGGGACTAGAGCTAAACAGGATCTTGAATTGGAAAACTTGAGTAAATGTTTGCCAGGCTAGGAGCAGAAAAAAAGGTGTGTTATTGCCAGCCTGAAAGGCATTTTTTGTATGTCTGAGTTGCCTTAGAGCAAGTTTTCTCTGCTCAAAAAGGGAGGCAGTCAAAGTACGGATATATGTCCTGCCACTGGCATAGAGAGGAAGGAGCTCATTGTTTGCTGCATTGTACTGAAAGGAACTCAGTTTTTGGTGTTCAAGCTGACTTGACAAATGAAACTGAAAAATGAGGGGAGAAAGCTAAGAGATGGTCACAAACACTCTACATCTGGCTTCAGCACAAAGGAAGAAACTAAGTACAAAAGTGTTTGGGAAAGGACAGGTAAAGCTGGGAGGAGGGAGGGAGGGAAGCTAGAGGAAGCTTTGGATTTCTTCAGAAGAAAACACATACTTTCAGGTATTCATGCCCCACACAAGAAAAAGGAGCTTCTAAGAGGGAGTTCCAGATCTAACCCAATGTACATTTACCTTAAGAAAGAAATCATAATGAAGCAGGAAGTGAACATACAAGGAAAGGAAAGACCACTGTATCAGCCAAGAAACCCCAGGCTGAATTGTATAGCAATAAAGTGAGCACTGCCAAACAATAAGTTATATAAAACTTTGCAGAGCACACCAAAGAGGAGGAATTCTCAGGTGTACAAATAAAAACTGAATCCAGAAGGAAGAGACAAGGCATACTGCTGTAAGGATGAGTAAGAAATAAGTGATAACTGAGATGGCATGCCCAAATTAACTGAATACATTGCACTGTTTGTAATGAAAAAGAAGATGAAAAAAGAGGAATGGAAATTACTGCAAATGCACTGGAAGCAAGCTTAAAGAGCTTACTACAATAAAATCAGATTATCTTCTCAGATATTAGAAAGAAAATTTAACATGAAATTAACAGTCTAGTACTGCATTCTGTGTAATATCTGCATTTAACGAGTAAAATGATACACAAAGGTTTGCTTTGGAATGCAGAAAGATCAGAATGCCCTGACAGCCAGAGTCAAGCAATAAAACAATAAAAATGAGTAACAGAAATTACTGAGGAGAAAAAAATCTGCTGCAAACTGGCATGTCATCAGCTGGAGACAGCTGAAGCGGAGGAGCTGAGTGTGAGGAACTGCAAGCAACCTGCACAATGCAGCCCTGAACTGCCGCCCCCCTTTTCCAGAGGGGCACACTGAGACCTAGTCCCCAGTACCTGGGGGTGCTCCTGTCCCTGCTCGGCCCAGGCCAGGCCGGCGTGGCCGCAGACCTCCAGCCTGAGAGCTGGTGCTGCACCTCCACCTCCTGGCCAAAGGCGCAGCTGCACGGGCGTCAAACGGGCTTTCTGCATAAAGGTGTGTTCAGGGCAGGGACCATTCCAAGCCCCTTCATGGTTAAACGCCAATCCAAAGGAATTCTTTGAACATGCCGATTGCACATGGGCCATGCATTAGCCCCACAGAGAGATGAGTATTATTTCTTACAGCTTTTGCAGTGTGTGACCCAACCTTTTTGAAGGATGCCTTTTCTGCTTTTAATAGCTTCTCTTCTGTAATTTAACCATCCCAGATATTTTCTTTTTCCTCTTCCCTCCCCTTCTCTTCCCTTCCCTCTTCCTGTGAAGTGTATGCACTTGCTTTCATCCTCCAGTATAGTATTTTTGAATAACCTTCATGCTCTTTGGGGAGTGTGTATGCTGAATGTAACTATACTACTTTTTTTCAAAATAACATTATGAACCATAACAACTGTGTACTGCTCAGGACTAAGCCAAAAGATGCTTTTCCTGTTCTGAGTTCCCAAATACCCATCTTTTGACATAAACATTGATGAGATCCCAAAACATAGTGCATACAGAAAGATTTTGGGGAATCTCGCACCAATACTTATGGAAAACATCATTGTGCTTCCTGTCCTGTGGTATCCATGTGGAGCTCTAGAGACCTCTTCTGCACCTCAAGATAGTGCCTGAAATCTCCGTTCCTCACCCTACTGCATGTCTATGTAGCTCCCTTGAGTCCACCATGCTGCAGCTCTTATGGAGAACAAAGGACCTGCCAATACAAGGGATAAGAGGAGAAGTCCAGGCATGCATTGATATCCCCCCAAAACACTCTCCCTGTCCTCTATGAAAGGTGATGTTGCAGTATCCTGTGCTGGCCAAATGCTGTACTAGGAGATCTGCCATACAAGTTGGACAGAAAGAGCCTTTCAATACTGAGTTCAAGAAGTGTTTGGTCGAGCTCTTAGACACGTGGTTTGATTTTTGGGTGGTCATGCATGGAGCCAGAAGTTGGACTCAATGATCTTTGTGGGTCCCTTCCAGTTTGGAATATTCTGTGGAAGCCACTTGCACTTGCAATGACCCATAGCTTCTCCATCTTCAGACAACCCATGCATGCTGCAGTGCCCCTGGGCAGACTGACAAACCTGCTGACAGATGTAAGGCTAGTACTCTCCAACACTTGAATGGGAGTTGGAAACTGATGCTTCCTTGTCTGTGGGCAGAGTGCTGGCAGTAAGAAGCTGGAGAAGAAAGGGCCTGAAACATAGTGCTGTGCTTTTTAGCACGGGAACCATTTGCTGTTCTGCACTTTTCATAAGGCTAAGAAAACCTGGTGTTACTGTATTAATGGTTTCTACACTGACTAGTACAGTGTAATTCTTGTCTGTTGTTTGTATTTTCATACAGGTCGTTACATCACCGAGCCAAAATTAAATGACCATTAAAAAAATAAATATGTAATGAATACAGCCATTACTACAAGTAATCTCAATTTACATACTTCAGAGGAAGTGTTAATTTAATAACATAAATTGGGTAGTGATAAATCACTCGTAAAAATCAATGTCAGCTGTCTCAGTACTCAGTGAACAAAAGTTACACGTAATTTTTTTTCTTCCTTTTTTGTAGTTTCACCTGGCTTTGCAGCCAAGTCCACACCAGCCTGGTGACCCACTTCCGTGGTCAAATAGTTGCAGAATTTGACAAGGAATTTCGGTACTTGTATGCAGAGTCCAAAGCAGTGACCAGCTTCTCTGTGTTGGATCCCGTGTGTCAGAACACCTCAAAAGGTACTGAATCCTTTTTGAAGCCCATCCAGAATGATGCTGAAACCCTGAGTGCCTCCAGCAGCCTCTCCAATGTAAGCATCAGAAGCATAAAAATGTCTCCCTTTATGAAAAACCCCAGTTGCAATGCTCACCAGGAGAAGCATGATGTGAGCCCTGATTCTGGTGATAAGAAGGGGAAGGAAGACACATCTCTGAAGTCCACTTGCCCTGTGCAGCAAGGGGAACCACCAGACTCACCTAACAGTCCTTCAAATAAGTCCGCCTTGTATCATAAATCAAATCTCATGACAGCAAGGACATTTTTGCAGCCGGAGCCATCCCCTGTCCTCAGCTCCAACAAACCTAATTATCAAGGGGATGACAAAACAAACAGCGGCCACTGCTCCCCAGTGACACAGGAGCAGACACCACAGTTCCCTTCAGAGGGTGCCAATTGCACTGGGACAGGCATAAAGCAGAAAGAAGCTGCTGCTACCTCCAGGGAACCAACAGTAGAAAATGATAACTTTTATGGGACAGAAAAAAGACAGAATCCTGGACAAGGAAAATTGGACCTGTTATTACCATACAACCAGCTCAAACGCACAAAAAAGCCTGCAGTTCCTTCCTATGATAAACTTACTGAGGACATGTTGACGGAAAAGAGCAGCGCATACGGGGCTGAGAAAAGAATGACTCTTGGGCACAGTAAGCTGGATCTGATCACCAAATACAACAAGTTAAAATCTAAACACATACACAGTCGGTTTGAACTCTGACCTGGTTCTCCTGGGCCTTGGTGTGTCCTTTGGTCTTATTTTCAAGTGGTTGCTTTTCCCTACCAATCAACATAGTCTGGGGCTTGAAATCAAAGTACAGGTGGCAAATTAGTCCTGTTCCTATCAAAAGGTGTTTGTGCTGTGCTGCAATTTCTAATATACGTAAATGACTGATTAAGATGAGATTAGCAAGTACAATTCAATCTTTCAATTACGAGTTGATAGCAAGGGAGAAAAAATGACATAAACAGAATGCACACTTCTATATACTTTTTACTCATTTGTAAAAGAACTATTTCCCCCCAAACTTACAGGAAAACCACTGCTATAACTGGAAACTGTTTGGCTACTGAGGTTTTCAGGGTGAACCCAGGTTCTCTTTGTATGGAGCAATTCCTCTCCCTGTAGCCATTTGCTAAAAATGAAATGGTCAAATGCAGGGTGATGTTAAAAAATAAAGGCACTGTTCTACTGGAAAGAGCTGTGTTGGGTCCCTCCTAAGGTGGTGAGCATCTTGAGCTTGGCCAGGGCCTCTTGCCACCCTGTCCTGGGGCCAGGCCCCAGCAGTGCTGATCTGTGCCATGCCAGGAAGATACGGGTGGTGGCTACACATGGGTGGCATGTCTAGGGACATGGGTGACACCTGCGAATGTGTGGTGATGGCAGGTAAGTGGTGTCTGCACATGGGCGATGCCAGCGCATGGGCAGCATTTGCACACAGATTGTATCTGAACACAGATGGCAGCTGACATGGGTTGTGCCTGGACATGGGTGGCATGCCAGGCACATGGATGGTGTCTGGATCCCTGTGTGTATGCTTGCACACAGGTGACGTGTCTGCTGTTGGGACACCGGTGGTGGCAGAACAAAGGTGGTATTCAGTCATGCCTGGATGGGGAAGCTATGCCCGCACATCGGTGGCATCTGGACACGTTTTGTTCCAGCACATGGGCAGTGTTGGCCCACGGTGGTGGTCCAGACCATGGTGGTACGTCCAGGCAAGCAGACAATGATGGCACACAGCGGCACATTTGAGTCCACAGCATGCGTCTGTGTCCAGGGATAGCGATGACACGCGGTGGTGCGCCTGGGCACGCAGGCGGTGCCAGCACACAGCAGCGTGTCTGAGAACACAGATGGTGATGGCATGAGGAGACAGATCCAGGCACTGGTCCATCACAGATGGTGATGGCATGAGGTGACAGGTCCAGGCACAGGGACGGTGCAGCACCCAAGTACGCGGATGCCAACGCTGTGTCTGAGCCCACAGCGGCGTGCCTGGACCCACGGTGCCATCTTTGTGTACACAGTGGCCTGCGAGGGCCAGGCCCGCGGCGCTGCGTTGCTCCCGCAGCGCAATGCCGGAGCCCGGCGCTGTGCCACGGCCCCGGAAAATGGCGGCAGGGCGGGGAAGGGCCGGCAGAGCTCCCGCTCCTCCCGGCGGGCGGGCGGCGCTGTTCCGCGGGGCGCTGCCGGGGCCGCCCCGCCCGCTGCCTTCCGCCCGCCGCCGGGGTCGGGAGCGGCGGAGCCCGCGTGCGTTCCGTGACGGGGCCGCTGCCATGGCCGTCCGTGCCAGCTTCGAGAACAACAACGAGCTGGGCTGCTTCGCCAAGCTCACCAACGCCTACTGCCTGGTGGCTATCGGCGGCTCCGAGAACTTCTACAGGTGAGGGAGCCGTGAGGGCCCGACTCGGCCCGACTCGGCTCGGCTCGGCGGGACCCCCCTGCGGCTGACCCCTAACGGCTCCTTCTCCTTGCAGCGTGTTCGAGGGGGAGCTGTTCGGGACCATCCCGGTGGTGCACGCCTCCATCGCTGGCTGCCGCATCATCGGCAGGATGTGTGTGGGTAGGTGGCGGGGGGCACCCGGCCTCGGGGCCCGCAGGTGGGCGGGCTGGGCTGGGGAGGCCGACGCGTGGCACCCCTCAGCCGGGATTACAGCAAGGCTGTAGGAAATGAAGCTCACCCGATTAAAAATCGTAGAATGGCTCGGGTTGGAAGGGACATTAAAGATCACGTAGTTTCAACCAGGGACGCCACCCACTAGGTGAGGCTGGCCAAGGCCCCATCCAGCCTGGCCTTGAGCACCTTCACGGGTGGGGCACCCACAGCTCCTCTGGGCAGATTGTGCCGGTGCCTCACCACCCTTACAGTGAAGGATTTCCTCCTTTGCTAAAAAGCAAGCAAACAAACAAGAAAAAACAGCCAGGGTAATAAAGAGCATCTTCTTCTCAAGGCCTGAGGACAGGTTATTGATGCAAATAAATCTGCTTTCTGGTAAACTGGGAGAAGCCATTCCATTTTTTTTTCTGCAGGTTAATGGTTCAGGGCTAGGACTGGAGGGGTGAGGGCAAGGGAGGCATTACAGATGTGAAGGTCAAAGAAAATTCTTTCACCTGTCTCCAGCTAGTGATGTACTATTCAGAAGAGCATGCTTTGTGCTTTCTTTTTGTTCCTGAAAAAATAAAAACGTATCAAAACGTATCTGTCCTATGTTACCAATTTGCTAAAGGAGAGTAAAAAAATCAAGTGGAATTTGTAGGCTTTGTGAGGACAACCAGCATCATTGGACTTGATGATCTTGAGGTCTCTTCCAACCTAGAAATTCTGTGATTCTGTGATCTACTGGGGGAAATCTCATAACAAAGTGTTTCATTGAGAACCTTGTGTTTCCTTCAGTACTGTTAAAAAAGAATAGTGAATAAAAGTAGTGTCATTTACCCATTTACATTAAGTTTGTGCTTCATCATGGTTTTCCCTCACCTGTGGTGCCATGTGATTTTGTTTGGGCTGATTTGTGGGCTTGAAATGAACAGATGGGGCGGGGCAGTTCCAGCCTTTTTCTGAACTGCAGTAAAGCAATAAGCACAATGGAAATAGTTGCTTTTAAAATTACTGTAATGTGGAATTGTTTTTCTTTTTTATGTATTACTTTCCTTTTTTTGGTCATTTTAGGGAACAGGCACGGGCTGTTGGTCCCAAGCAGTACAACAGACCAAGAGCTTCAACATATCCGCAATAGCCTTCCAGATTCTGTACGAATTCAGCGAGTAGAAGAACGTCTCTCCGCACTAGGCAACGTCACTACCTGCAATGACTACGTAGCTCTTGTTCATCCAGATCTTGACAGGGTATACGGCTCTTATGCTTTTACATTCCTTATGGATGCATCTGAAATTATTCTGAAGCTGCAAATGGAGTTTGTAGCTATTGAGGCATACTATAAGTAGCATGAATTTCAGAAGAGTTATGCTAACGGTTAAGCTAATATCATGTAGGAAGCTGTGCTGCCTCACATTTCCTTTATTTTTGGGAGAGAAATCACTGAATTGGATTTGGGACTTTTGACTCTGTTTCAGTTGATCTTCCTCTTCTCCTATAATTTTCCTTCATTGTGAATGTGGAGTCTGCTGTAAATTCAGTGTGTGCTCTTGTTTGGTATGCTGTAGTTAATGGTGGGAAGCTGTGGGATGTGGAAGTTAATTGTCAAGTCTAGTTTGTTATGCGTATGTAAAATTGACCGAAAAAAGAGCATCTATGTGTGTAATAAAGAGCATAACAAATTTGATCAGGACTGTAGCAGTAGTTACAAAATGCTGCTGATCAAGTTGAAATTTCTAATAGAATTAGAAGAGATCATAGATGATGCAGTGTGTGTGTTTACAGTGAGGTAAAAGAAAAATGGAAGCTCCTGTATGAAAGTTAAAAACAAGGGCAGGGGACATGAAGTTGCTGCCAATTTATGTTTGAGAGCTGATACTTCAATAGCACTAGAGAGGTGAGTTGTGTGGCTACAGCTACTGAAGGTCCTGATGTTTTCTTTCAGTTTGTGCTAAAGGTGATGGAAATGGTGGAAGGAGTGCAAAGACAAAAAAGAGGTCAAGGTAAAAGCCTTTGCAGGCAATAGTCTTTGCAGCATACTATGTTTTAAGTGTAAAAAGTACAGTAAGATGGCCAGAAAGGGAGAAATCAAAACCAGTTACAATGAAAACCTGCTGAGCTTTATTTGGAAGGGAAAGAAGTTCTTAGAGTTATGCAGAAGGTTAAGACAGTACTCAGGTCTGGGCAAAAAAGGACTGATTCACAGGGGAATACCTACACAACAGGTGTTGACACAGTTCATGTACTGCCAACATCTTTGAGAAAAAGGGGAGGAAGAGCATTTCTCAGTGGTGGTGTGTTTAGTTATAGGAGCCTTGCTTCCAGCTCAAGTGTGCACAGGTAAGTGGAAACACCTCTGGAGTACAGAGGTTGATCGAGAAGAGTAAGAGCATTTTATGATGATTTGATTGCAATGCGTGGTGAAAGGATCCCAACTAGTTCTTTGCAAGAATAGCTTGACTTCAAATTCTAGAATACCATTTTGCTGAGGATTTTGTTCTCTTTCTCTGTTTGCAGGAGACTGAAGAGATCTTGGCAGATGTACTAAAGGTTGAAGTATTCAGGCAGACTGTAGCAGATCAGGTGCTGGTAGGAAGTTACTGTGTTTTTAGTAACCAAGGAGGGATTGTGCACCCCAAAACATCAATTGATGATCAGGATGAACTGTCTTCATTGCTCCAGGTTCCACTTGTGGTAAGGCATTTGTGTTTTTTCTTGCTGCTCCCTTCCATTTCTATTTTATGGTTTTAAAGTTTCTGCAGTCTCATGGTCTCCTAGGTACTGTTTTCACTGCAGGGCTGTTCCAAAAGGGAGATGAGGCGAAGTCCTGCAGGAGGCCAGTCTTCTGAGATGTTTTCTCCACCTTTTCTGAGTTTGAATAAGCTGCATAGAGGCTTTAGTTTGTTTCTGAAACATTGCTCTGCTGAGATTATGCAAGATTTGCTGATTCATTCATATGGAATATGAAATTGTCTGGTTTGGCTAAAGGCACATTTCAAAAAAATCTAGTAATAAAATCCTGTGCTGGCTCAGTTGGATTTGTTAATTTCAAGATTGCTATGCCTTTATGCTTGTTTGTTAGATTTGTTATTTTTAACTGAATGTCACAAAATGTTCTTTCCAGATACTGCAGGCTATCTGTTGACTTTTAAGTGTTTAAGTAAAATCTTTGTTGATGGCAGAAGCTTTAATCTTTTCAGGGGTGTGAGTTGAGGCCCTCTACTTAAGACCTAGTAATAAGGAAATGTAACAAAATGTGGTGATGTCAGTGTGCTCTGCAAACTACTGCTGATTTTTTTTTTTCTTCCCTAGGCTGGAACAGTGAATCGTGGCAGTGAGGTCATTGCGGCAGGAATGGTTGTAAATGACTGGTGTGCCTTCTGTGGACTGGACACAACCAGCACAGAGCTCTCCGTCATTGAGAGTATCTTCAGGTTGAACGAAGCTCAGCCAAGTACCATTGCTACCAATATGAGAGATTCCTTGATTGACAGGTAAGGAGGATACAGCTTCATCTATAATCATAATCGAAACAGGCAAGATCTTAACGTAAGGAAGCTATAACACCAGCTGTTTTTCAAAGTTGATTTCTCTCTTTGCTTCCTCTTTGCTTTTATTGGGTTACTGACGAGAATTACCTTGTTGCAGAAAGGTTTGGTTTATGTAGTTGATAAGCATTCTTAGTCATGAATCATAACTGCATTAACAGTTCTTGTTGCGTTTAGAATTGCAAGAATTTTTTTTTCTGAGGAAACATAAAAGTAGCCACTTCAACTTTCAGATACTTTTGTTCTAAATGCCAGTGCTAAGCTTATGACACCTATGATTTTTTTTATTTACTTATTAATGGAAAACAAATCTTGTTTTAAAAGTCAAGCGAAGTTACTGGCATTTTAACATCTTGGCTTTTTTTTTTTTTTTTTTTTTTTTTTTTTTTAAGCCTTTATGTCAAAGGTTTTGTCCAAGTGGAATGCAGGTTATCTTTTTTTTTTCTGCCTGGACTGGTAGTGATAGAGGACCTTCCCCACTTGTTGATATATACAAAAACTTTTACAGGGTTTAGGCATGGCTTATAGGTGAATGTCCAATGCGAACTTCATTTGGACTTTCAACTGATTGTAACTCTTATCATTGCAGTAATGCTAGAGGTGTGCTTTTGAGCTGCTTAGGCCACTGTAATTTACTTACAGAGTTCTCAGTTCTCATAAAAATGTATGGGAATGGTTTATGGCATAGAGAAAGAATAAGGAATTCCTTAATTCCTTCCAATGAAGAACTGTTTGAAAGAGTTATTCTTACCTTCACAGTTCCTATGTAAAGGCCTTGTGCTTCTGAGCACAGCGTAAAACCATAATTAAACTTGTGCTAAGCTTTTAATAACTGCTTAGACAAGACTGATTTTCTTGCCTTTGCCAACTTGACGAATGTGTTCTTAGAGCTAGCTGTTAGCAGTCACCAGGTCTCCTTCACTCTTTTCACAAACTCATATGTTCTAGGAAGGGAAATTTGCTACTGGTCCTTTGTAGCTGGAGGTTGAGAACTGACTATACTGGTGTTTGGAAATGTTTTCTGCACTGTGGCACTCATTTTCTAAATCTCATTTCTGTTTTGTCTTTTTAGCTTGACATGAGCAGTGTTGGTTCAGGAAGCTCCTAAAGAGTGAAGTGTCAAGCAGCAGTTTGGATTACAGACATCTAGATCTTCTGTTGTTTCTGCAGGCCCAGCACCAGGAAGAGGCTACAAAAACAAATGTAGTGTTTTGTAAACTAAGTATTGTTGCAAAATGTGACAAATAACATATATAAGTTGCAAATATGGAATGCTTTCTAACCCTTTGCTAATGTTCTCCAGTTTTTCTTCAGTTGTGCTTTCTTTGTGATGCTGACCGAGGCCCTCAATTTAGCCCACAATATTTACTTTTGTCTTTTGGATATTGATCACTAGAGATTGTTTTGCCTTAAATAGCAGATCAGAGTTCTGCTGCGTAGCAGACTGTTTAAACACGTATATGGCACTGCCTTCTCTTTTCACAGTCTTGCTAAAGAGTAATATTTCTGCTGTAAGTGAACTTAAGAGCCCTTTTCATTTTTTATACCAAAAATATAGTAGTTTACTTACCAAAAAATAATTCGGAAAGCATCACCTGTTCTTGTGACCTGACTTGCAGCTATTCTCATAGGGCTGGTGATTCTGAAGTGATTAGCTCAGATTAGAAATGGAGTTTCTCTAAGAAGTCAATACAGGGACTTAACAGCCAAGTGTGACTGCTTCCAAAGCAGTGGTATTTGATCTGTTGTCTGCAGATGTCTGGTGACATATATGCTACTTCAGAGGCATCTGCAAAAGAGCCTGGAAAAACATACAGTTGCCAGTAGGCTTAAATGTGCTGTACGGGAGTTGGCCACCTACACTGGAAAACTCTTAAAAGTCAGCACATCAGAAAGGGTTGAAGAATGTCATCTTGAGTTACCTTGGAGACAAAGGTTAAGTAACGCAGTTGTAAACAGTTACTGCATTCAGTAATATGTTTTGGGTTTGGGAGCTTGCTATTGAAGAGTTCTGCTTTTGTCTAGCAGTGACAGTGGCATAAATGCTGCTTTCAGGTAGAAGATAGTCATTTACTTCTAAACAGAGCTGTTGCTCCTTGACTTCTCATTTCAGTTGCTTTTCTTGTGCTTGCTTGGTACAGGTATGCTGAACGCATACAAATGTCTCTACTTCCTATCCAAAGGGTATATGGAAGCTGCCTGCTTGCTTCCATGTAGCTGTATTACTCTCAGCTGGATTCTCTTGAGGAGTTAAGTCCTGAAGGCAGTTAGGGCAGAGCTCTTTTTTTGGCCCTGGTGGTTCAGGCTCTGTAAAATATTAAATAAACCTCCGCATATGTTAGACTGTCAGGATGTTTAGGGAACGATTTATAAGTTTCGGGTTGATTAAAGGTTGTTCCTTAGAGTTTTAAGTGAGGATTGCCATAAGATTGTCTCTGGTAATAGCAAGCCCTGTTATCTAGCTTGTCTAGAATGGTGACAGGCAGGGGCTGCCATTTCCAGACAGCTCACCTGTTCTCTGCCACTGGGGAAGCCTATAAGCAGGTTACAGCTCTTCATATAATTTGGCTAACAATTTCTGGTGCCTGTGGCCCCTTTAACGCAGTGGACAACCTTTTTTGTCACTGATTTCAGGTTTCTTCCTCTTAGCAAGTCTCAGTATTTCGAGTTTGACACTGTTTTTCTTTGGTCACCTCACAGGGTTCTGATAAGGAATAAATGGTAGTCTGACCATCGCTGTGGGTGTTAGCATATATTCATCAAGTGTGAAATGAGTAAAACTGCATTTTTTGTCTCTACTTTTAATTACAGTCATTATGCAGAAATCCTAGTTTGAATTAATGAACTTGATACGTGTTAAAAATTGCTTATATAATAATATAAGATATAATAATCCAGTTTCTGTGAAATCCAAATCCTTAAATAAGAAAGATACTAGGACAATGTTGGCGATAGAAATATGCCAGAGTGAGAAACAGACAGAAGAATAAGGTATTACTAACTGTGATATATGACCTCCTATGAGTATTGCATTGAAACCTGGGAACTGGAAGGTGGCAAACATGTTATCACTTCTAAACAAAGGGTTTGTGGGAATTCTGAACTAGTAAGGTGGACCTGTGTACAAAGAAAACTATCAGAAACTAGTGAAGAGTGAAAGTAGTAGAAATGTGGATACATGATAGCATGAGAGAGCATAAACCTGGTGCTTTTAAACCTGGTGCGACAAAGCCTATGGAGTTATTTAAAGATGAAGTTTCTTTGTAATCTATCTGAACTTCCAAAAGGTATTTGCAAGGTATTGTGCCAAAGGCTTTTAAAGACCCTGAATAATCCTATAGAATGAGAGGGAGGCTCTTTCGTATGTTAGAGGATGGGGGGAAAAAGAGCAAAAGGCTGAATTTTTCACTGGATTTTTATAGGGAGCTCAGCTGGAAGCCATGATGTTCAGCTTATTGTGTCCTGTTTAGTACAGGCAGTGGATTAGTGGAGTGAAGTTTACTCAAAATGATTCATTCTGACTAATAGGGATGAGGACTACCTGATGTGGTGATGGGAGCTTGTGTTGAGGTGTAATGACCAATTACAAGGCAGAAGCTGATCCCTCTTAGAGTGGAGGCCCACCTCTGTTAAGACTGTAGCGATTTTATGACTGTAGTGATTAATTGCTGATTGTATTTCCCTGCATATTTATCTGCAAAAATGAATGTACTTTACTGGTGATCAAATTATTCCCAGTCAAAATGTGGAGGAAAAAAAAAAAGAATGCAAAAAATGGGCTGCACCTTGGAGGAGCTGAAACTGCTGCGCTCAAGGTAAGCATGCCAGGACTGTCTTCTGTACAGATGGCACATACTGCAGGGCAGTGTGTATCAGTTGAGTAAGCACTGATGTTCCCTGCTCCCCTGTGGTGGCAATGTGTCCTGGTTCTGTGTGTCCGGACAAGAACTGGAATATGGCCACCTGTCCCTGGAGGCGCTGATGGAAGGCGTGCTGAGTCAGTACTCAGGTGATGTGCTTGTTTTGCATGGGACAGGATCTCAGCAAAAAGCTCAGACATGGGAATATAAGGAACTGTTCCCTATGTGAATATTAACATTTGTGTCTGGATCCAGGTCACTCCAGGATTGCACAGGTGTTAATCTAACTAAAAGTGGAGTGAACTGGGTTGTACTTGCAGAGTAAATGGGTCAACTGCTCATCTACCTGCCTCAGCCCCCCCAAGTGCCAACGCTTGTAGCTGTTGAGGGCTGTTTCTCAGCAACTAAAATGCTTACAGAAACATCTTATGCCCCTGGAAATCACGGACTTCAGTTATAACATTTACCTGCACCCAGAGGTGCACTGAACAAGCAGTTCAGTGTGCATCAGCAGCCAGTTACGAGGTGGTGATAAAAGGCACCAAACTATTTCTCCAGTTCTTTAAAGCATCGGTTCTTCATGGAACGCTGGACTTTGGCACTATAGGGCAGAAGGCTTACCTTATTGCAGCAGGGTGCCTGATTTTACAGGGCAATATGTAGCTGTCCGAGGAAACAGCTGAGCTTGCTTCAGACCAGCATCATGCACATGCTGCTTGTACAACTTGGCACTAAGTATAAAATTTTGAAGAAAAATATCTACAGCTGGGCACTAGGAAAAAAAAAACACCCCTCCCTCATACCCCAAAAAGAGACATTTCTCTTGGTTGTTTTTTTTTTTTTTTTTTTTAATGATGGCTGTTGGAAGTTGCTCAAAGGTTTGGGCTGTCACAGTCCCAGAAGAGATGGCAGCGTACAGATGAGTTTGATGTGCCATGTGGCTGTGGCATTCATAGTGTGCATTCTACCACATATATAGTACACATAGCAACATACAGAGTAGCATGTAGGGGGGAGTGTCTAATTGATAGCTCTGATTTCATTTGGTCCTTTGCACTCCTTCATCCATCATGAGACATAACCACATTTTTTCACTAAAATTCAGTTTTGCATCTACTAGCTTCTCACTTATTTCATAATATGTTTGTAATACTTTTTAAACACAAAAAACAGCGTGGCTATGGAAATTAATTATGAAAGACAAAATACAGTTTGAGACCACATGTTATGCAGTCCTAGTGGGCTTCACTAAGAAGTATCTATTTGTCTGTCTGGCTTCATCATAGCAATAGTTGAATCCTAGTTAGAAATTCAGAATGCTAACAATCTTTCTGCTTCTTCATTCCTCATCGTTGTAATTACAAATATTCATAGCATGTTTGTCAAGAAAATAAAAGTCCTTGGATTTTTTTCCATAGCTGACATGGAGCTGTATTTTTCTATACTAGTTGGACATTCTGTGCATTGAACTTCTATTGCACTGAATAAAATTCAGTTATAGGCACAGGGCTTACACTAATCACCTATTCCCTATAGTGAGCGTGCAAAGCAGTTCATATGCTTACATGAATGGCACTTTTGTACTGGGCAGGACTTCATTAGATTGCATTGCAGGAGACTCTTCTGCTTCTAGTTAACATGGTAGGAGTATTGGCATCAATACGAAAATGGACTAAGTTTGTGGTTAGGACACAAAATCCTAAACCATTTACAATTGTAACAGGGATAAGCAGAAGCTACTGATGTGGGAAGAGAGTCGTGAAAAGTTACTAACTGAAAGTTCAGGTTTTTACTTAGTGTTTACCTGATTTTTATGGCTCTGTCAAATGTGGCTAGTAATGAACTCATTCTACTGTGTAGCATGCTTCCTTTGGTCCTCGCCAAATTCTTGCATGTGAAGAAGTGAGCAAAAACAAACAACAAATTTCAAAGGCATACGATGTTTGTAACATCTACAGGGATTGGTTTTAGTTTTATAAACAGGCCTAATCCTTACTGTATCTTGACTATTTCAGCAAAATATACTGACGATCTCACTCCAAAAAAAAAACATTTCCATTTTCCTGAAACCCAACATACAAATTCTACAGTCTAGTTACACATGCCACATAACAACAATTCATCTTTTCCCAGCATCTTTACAGGGGCAGAGTGCAGTCTACGTCTGTACATTTTTCATTATACTGGTAATTATTGGTTCATTGTTTCTGGCTGATGGGAGCTTAAAACAGCATCATATGACATCTAAATATTTCATTAATGGCTCCCAAAACAAAAGCGTATTCTCTTCCCCCCCCCCCCCCCCCCCCTTTTTTTAAGACTCAATTACTTTTTGTCTTTAGATTGTCCCAATCTAGGACTTGATATCACCAAGTAACATTACGGTGTCTGTTTTGGTGCTTCTTGAGCTTCTGCTCTGCACTCGTTTACCTCTCGGAGTACTTAATGGTTCCTCATGCACTGTGCTGAGTGGCAGCATCGATTAGTTATGAATGTACAAAACATCTGACCAGCAGGTATTGGAAAATTGTTTCCAGGTAATTCCCTGTTTTTTTGTAATAAACAAAGAAGATCTTTTAGAATGGCTCAGCATCAGAATGTCTTCTTACAGTACTGAATTGTTCCTGTTCATAGATTCCATGATCTTAATTCATTTATGAGACAGCTATTAAAAAAATGGTTCTGTTCAGAGGTGGTTTAGCTACACTGGAGAATGCTGGGTTTAACAGGGAGCACTGATGCAGGGAACTGAAGGAAGTTTCCCAGGTCAGTTGAAACGTCTGAAGAAAATCTGTCTTGAAGTCTCAAGTCTCTGATGTTTGCAGAGTGAGCCTGTGGAGAATGGCACGCCAAGACTGACACGACTGAGGCAGTTAGAAGGAATGAGGCTCCACATTGTAAGGTTGCCTGCATTTTTTCCAGTTTTTCTGCTTCTTTCGGTCCCAGGATGTCCAAAACTTGTAAGTCACTGAAGTAGTTTTGTTTGGTAGGCTTTTTTAATGCTTTTTTTTTTTGTCCATATCCTCATCAGATCAATGAGTTGAAATGTGCAGCTGACTGTGTCATACCCATTCCTGGACAGGTCTTTTGTAATACACAACGTTTTGCTGCACCTCTTTGTTTTTAAACTGGAAGATTGTGTACACCAAGACAAGGATACACAGAGACAAAATGCAAGGGATCACAACTGCAATAGCATTTACAGTGCTAGGCACATCGTTTATTGTCACCATAATATCCACATCATCGTGAGGAAGGCGCCTGTCTTTGCTTCTTTCAACATCCTTCTGATTACAGCCCATCCAGTCTTTGAGGATTGACCGGGGATAGCCTGGCTCCACACTCAGCCTCTGGTTATCGAACTTCCAATACTCCTTCCCTTTGTAGAAGTAGGTATAAACTAGGAGACAAAACAGAGAGTATTTCTCATCACACTATTTCCAACAGGTTAAATTGTGCACATGTGAGGGTGTACAGAGAGCCTGAAAGGCTGGAGGGTGGTAGCTGTCTAGGTCAAATCATCTAAGGCATTCCAAAGCCATGGAAGTAAGATGACATTTTTAGAGCTTGATTAAAAGAAGAAACAGAAGGGATACCATCCAGATGGACCTGGAAAGGCTTGAGATGTGGGCCTGTGCAAACCTTATGAGGCTCAACGAGGCCAAGTGCAAGGTCCTGCACCTGGGATGGGGCAATCCCAAGTACAAATACAGCCTGGGTGAAGAATGGATTGAGAGCAGCTCTGAGGAGAGGAACCTGGGGGTGTTGGTTGATGGGATGCTCAACATGTGTGCTTGCATCCCAGAAAGCCAACCATATCCTGGGCTGCATCAAAAGAAGTGGGGCCAGTAGGGCAAAGGAGGGGATTGCCCACCTCAGCTCTGCTCTTGCAAGACCCCACGTGGAGTGCTGTGTTCAGCTCTGGTTCCCACCACGTAAAGAGGATGTGGACCTGTTGGAGTGCGTCCAGAGGAGGGCAGTGAGGATCATGAGAGGGCTGGAACACCTGTCCTATGGAGACAGGCTGGAAGAGTTGGGGTTGTTCAGCCTGGGGGAGAGATGGTTCTGGGGAGACCTTACAGTGGCCTTCCAATACCTTAAGGGGGCCTACAGGAAAGCTGCAGAAGGACTCTGTCAGGGGCTGTAGTGAGGAGACGGGGTAATGGCTTTAAAATAAAAGAAAGTAGATTTATATTAGATGTAAGGAAGAAATTTAAGGATAGTGAGACCCTAGCCCAGGCTGCCCAGAGAAGCTGTGGATACCCCACCCCTGGCAGTGCCCAAGGCCAGGCTGGATGGGGCTTTGTGCAGCTTGGGCTGGTGGGAGGGGTCCCTGCCCATGGCAGGGGGTTGGAACTAAATGATCCTTAAGGACCACTTTCAACCCAAACAATCCTGATTTTTTCTACAATTCTATGATTTGAGAAGCCCTAACTTCTTGTTTGGCTTGGGACAATGCTGCTCACAGAACACCATTCCCCTTGGCCAAGACAAGCTGATGACAGGATTTAAGCTGTGAATAACAAAAATACTGAGCTCACTTCTCTCCACCTAAATTTTAACGTAAGTGTTCTGCAGTGGTTTGTTTTTTACTAAAGCATCTGTAATATTTACTCATCATTACCAAGCTGTTAACAGTCTGAAGAATGACAGTGTTTGCCTTGGTGTGATAGTATTTGGATGGATACACAAGTGTTTCTCTTTACCCCACCTGAGAGAGCAAATACTGAATAAAACAAGTCCTTTTGATGACAGAATCTGAAAGATTTGGACTTAGTTAAGAAACAGTCTTGTCCTGCTGCTAGTAACAGGCAGATGGTTTATGCTACATATTGTCTGAAGTATCCTTCATCTCTACAGAGGACTCCAAGGTTCCTTTTTTAATCACTCTTAAGTGATTTTTTTTGGGGGGGAGGGGAAAAAAAGGGAAAGGAACACCAGTGAAAGTGATGGCTCTCCTTTATCTAGTCTCCTGCTTAGCTGGCTGTCACTGCAGTATTCCAGATGTATTGGAAAGCCCAACCCTAGAGACCTTGTCCCACACCACAAGTGGGACAAGGGCTCAATGGACAAACCCCTTCTGTTAGTTCTTTCCTAGTTGGTGGAAAAGGAAGAAATCTTCAAGTCAGAGAAAGAAATGCGCTGGAAGGAGCCTCTAGAGGTCCAAACCCATGCTCAGGGCATGTCTAACTTCAAAGTACATCCAGAAGGTTGGAACCCGTAATAGGGAGAGAGCAACTAAGCTAGCTATAGCTAAGAGAACAGGAGAAAAAAACAATAAGGTATGGCATCCCCACAGTCACAGCCTGGGAATGCTTGGTTAGGGACTGTTGTGGAAGCAAAACCAGAAAAAGTCCTTTTCCCATCCCAAATGGCTAGTATTAGAGTAATGTGTTTTAGTGGCTTGGAGGTACCTGGGCTGGGATGAGGGTCAGGAAGAACTGCAGACTGCCTGTGCTTGCAGGTGTCACTGTGGCCTTGGGAAGCCTGAGATGTGAGTCCTACCTCAGTGGAAAAATTTGGAACACCCCAAACCCAACAACACAACTCCTGAGCTCAGCAAGATACTATTGGTCTAATTTGTATAATGATTACAGATACATACAGCCTTCTTTGCTGATAAAAGCTCCCTGTGGCGCCTGAGGGATTCCTCTCCACACAGTGATGGGCTTTGGGTATCCTGGGTCCGTTGCTCTCTTGTCCTCGTTGTATCTCCAATACCTGTCTCCTTTGAAGAAGTAGGTTTTGCCTACAGGCTCCCAGCGCAAAGCCGTGTCAATGCCTTCCCGGGGCAGACAGTTACCCAGCTCCACCAAACTGTGTGGGTATCCTGGCTCTGCTGTCACTTCTTTAAAAACCCAGTATTTATCTCCTGGAGATGAACAGGGATACAAGCAACATATGAGTATGCCTAATTAGTAGTTAAAGTGATACAAATGCAAAACACCTACACTGAACCACAGCATGGTGGTGACTTCTGGGCTTAAATGTATTATGTGAAAAGTTCCTCCTTGGCATTTTAAACCTGAAACCTCTTGATTTCATTTGACACTCTAGCTCTTGTTTTGGAAACATTAAACAATGCTTTCCCATTCACATCCTCTAGGCCAGTCTTGATTTAAAAAGCTTCTCTCACATCCTGTCTTTGTCAGCTCTCATTCAGGCTGAGGAGTTCTAGGATATTTAATTGTTCCTTGTAGAAGGCCAGTCCATACTTTTTGCTAATTTCCATTGCCTTTCTTAGAGCCTTCTCTAGTTTTAATACATTTTACTGAGCTGAGGGACTGAAGCCGCATGCAGTATATTAGAAGACCACATGTACTTTGCATCTGTACGGGGGCATGGTGATGATTTCCAGCTACTCTTCCTTACTTACAATTTGATCACGTTCAGAAACTGTCACAGCGCAAGGAGATGATATGGGCCTCACATAAAGATGGCCATATGGACTCTTCAGAGAAAGCACCCATAACACATTTTTCCAGCATCTTGAACAGATGTGAGCAGATCATGACACAGATGCTCACATTGCACTGACAGGAAACAATATGTAGGAAACAGTAGTGTGCCCCTCTTAGACTAGAACAAGGACCGGGATTATAAATGAAGTGCCATGTACCTTCCATAAAAGCCACCAACATGCTTTAAGTCAACTAGCCATATCGATGCCTCACTGATCTCATTATGAACAACCTCTTGTTACAGATGTTTAATGGAAGCCTTTGATTAATGGGCAGTGGCCACAATTAAAGGTCTTCTTCAAGGATACTGACTACATTCTTCCTAATATTTCCCCAGACTCTTCTGATCAAGGTGTCAAAACCTTCATAGTTGTCTAGAAGTGTGGTTTGGGGTTGCCCTGTATCTAGAGAAGCTCCAACACGATGCCACAACATGTTCAAGGAGACAGGCAGGAGCCTCACTCCCTGAGAAACAGGAACTGTTTCTCATTACCTGGAATTACATGGAAGCCAATATCTACTGAGCTATATTAGCTTTATACAGAGATTGTACTGGCAAGGCCAACCCACACTAAGGAATATGTTAAGGCTTGGCTATCACATTGGAAGGTGAAAATCAAAGGAGAACTTTTATGTATGGCTCAGTTGGACTAACAACAATTAGTCCTCAGAAGGACAATTAGTCCTCAGAAGGACTAACAACCATTAGTAAAAATGTAGCAAAAATATGTAAGAAAAAGACAAGTCTGTGCTAACAGCCTCCCTGTTCCATTTATTCTTGTACAGCCCACATTGCTTACTGGACTAAAATGTTTTAGGGCTGTTGTCACAGCAACTACCTTTGCTAGTGCCTCTAGGGCAGAGAAAATGAGCCCTGTGTGACTCAGCTGCATGGCAAATAGTCACCCAAGCACTTCTACACGGGCATAGAGATTTTTTCAAGACTGCAGGAGGTCCTGTAGCTGAACTTTCAACCCAAGTTGCAACTGACTGACTCACTGAACTCCCTTTGTAGCAGACTTTGACCTAGGAGAGCAGATCTGTCCCTGAACATGATGGTATATAGGCCAGCAGTAAAGCTTCAGGAGGCTGCGCAGCACCAGTGACCTGCACTGTTCTGCAGCAGTTTGCACTTGGCAAATGAGCAAGGAGAGAAGTGCCCCCTTGGAAAAGGACAGGGATTCAGTGAACCCATTTTCATCATCTTAATGCTTTAATTGTGTGATGCAAGGCAGGTGTAGCAGGCTCATACTGAAATATACTGTACCTTTGAAGAAAACAAATTTTCCATCAGACCTCTCGTAGGCTGCATCAATCTTTGCGGGAAGACCTTTCCAGAACTGCTCAATTTGCATGGGATATCCTTCCTGCACCCGGTTGTTGCGCAGACGCCAGAACCAGCGATCCTGAAAAAATCAGAAAGCTCTTCAGACTGAGTACTTTCATCTTGCAGTCTGGCATCAAGCACTACTAATCCATGCCTAAGCCTGTAGCCATTAAAGATAGAAGTCCTGGTCTGGATGAGAGCTGCCCAACACCAATCCCAGTGAGGGAAGCACTTCATGGGGAAGATGGCAGCCAAAAGGGTAACAAGATGATTATTGGTACTGTGAAAAAGGGTGGACAGAAGGAGAAGAAAAAGAAGCAGGGGGAAGCAAGTTTACAGTTATATGACCTCCCAGGAGAGCTGGTGCTCGACTGTCTGACCTTAGGACAGCCATACAGCGTATACCACTATGTATACCACCACATATGGTGACTGTGTGAAACACACAACATCCATAGGCCCAAAGGAGTTATTAAATATCCCTTTAGATATCAGATCATTAGTTAAAGCCATAGTGGATGCTCAGGGAAGAGTAAGAGGAGGACAGAGTCTCTGATACTTCTCCAAATACCTTCAACAATTTTCAATTCAGACATTTTCTGTGGCTGATGTGTTCTGTGTGTTTAATAACCTTCCATATTTCCCACTCCACATTCATACCCAGTGGGCAGAGTGAAAGTCTTGGGTATTTTGGGAGTAGGACCATGGTTTTTCAGATGCAAGGTGATCTAACATACATGTAGGTCTTTGAGCAAAGCCTCTTCTTTCCTGGCTGCAGTTTATGAGCAAGGTTGATTCAAACTCTTCAAGAGCTGCAAGTATGCTGAGTATTCCCTGAAGACCAGGTTTTGGTATATGCTATCTCTGGAGACCATGAGGCTTAATCCCTTTCTGTTACTGGCATTGCTTTCTGTCTTTAAGGGTGACTTCTCTCTCAGCTTAACAGTCTCTGAATTTTCTGCCAATCTGTCCAGTTCATAGAATAATGGAATCATAGAATATCCCAAGTTGGAAAGAACCCATAAGGATCATCGAGTCCAATACCTGGCACCACACAGGTCTACCCAAAAATTCAGACCATGTGACTGACTAAGTGCACAGTCCAAATGCTTCTTAAACTCCAACAGGCTTGGTGCAGTGACTGCGTCCCTGGGGAGCCTGTTCAGTGTGTGACAATCCTCTCGGTGAAGAACCTCTTCCTGATGTCTAGCGTAAACCTCCCCTGCGTTAGCTTAATTCCCACGGGTCCTATCACTAGTCACTAAAGAGACTAGATCGGTGCCTTCCCCTCCAATTGCTCTCGTGAGGAAGCTGTAGACTGCTATGAGTTCTCTCCTCACCCTCGTCTTTTCCAGGCTGAACAGGCCCAGTGCCCTCAGCCGCTCCTCACACATCTTCCCCCTAGGCACTTCACCATCTTTGTAGCCCTCCTTTAACAAATCAAATTTGTTAAACAGGACCTACCCCTCGTGAACCAATGTTGGCTGGGACCAATGAATGCATTGTCCCCCAGGTGCACTTCAATAACTTCAAAGACCATCTTCTCCATAATTTTACCAGGCACTGACGTGAGACTGATGAGTTCACTTTTTGGTGCACAGACACCAAAATTCTGTTCAGTCTGTAAATCCCATTAGGCACTGTTTCAAAATATTACAAAGCCAGTCTGCTTACAGTTCCCTCTAATATTACTCATTTATCAGCCTCAGAGGAACAGAGCTACCTTTAGAAACACTTCAAATGTAACAGTAACTACCTTATACTTTTATTCGTCTTTTCCAGTAATGAAACTAAAGAAAACCATCCATGAGATAAGCAAGAATTTTTAGTACCTTGAAAACAAACATTTCTCCTCTAAAGAGAGCCACAGTGTTAAAGTTGCCATCACAGATGTTCGGTTTCATGCCAGGAGGAGATGGCCTGTCACCTAGAGGAGGGCTAGGAGGTCGTGGCTGTCTCTCGTGTTTTCTTTCCGAAGTGGAGTGAATTCTGCGAACAGGAAGAGTCGGTAAAGGCCTGGTTGGCTCCAAGGGCTCAACAGGAGGACCTAGAATTGAAAAGAAAAATGTTTAGTGAAGTGGGCAATTTTGGATTTTCTGTACTTTCCTCAGGTTTTAAAAGGCAACAGGCTGGATGAAGTGTGTTGTGAAGAATGTATATATTCTTTATGAACTATGTACACATAAGAGATCATTCCCTAGAAATGGGAAGCAGAACAAGATGTATACACACATGAAAGAGGTCCCAGAACAAACAAGGGATACGAACTGAAGAAGAGACAGTATGTTTGTGTAGGTCTTTCCAAGGAGGCTGTAGATAAAAGGAGGATGCACACCAATCACATTCCCAAATGAAATTAAAGGTAATAGCCACTGAACAGAAATGTTTATTAGTCCATAACAACAACAACAACCAGAACAAAGTTATATTGAAGATACTGCTGCAAACTAAGGGAAACTGCAGAGGAATTTAGAAATTAGAAGGCAATTATTTTATTGCAGATTAGTCACTAATCTTCCTCTTCAGAACACCATAGGAACTCCAACGAACAACTGTGATAAGGGCCTTTGCTCTCATTCCATCATTCAGATGATGCCCTCCCCCCTACAAGCACAGCTCTTCCCTTCGATCCTTACCCAGATTATTCTGGGGATCTTACAGGGCTGCAAGAATGTAAAGAACTATAATAAATATAAGCAGCTGAGACTTGGAGCAAAGGTCTGCTTTTGAAATGACTGTCCCACAGGAAAATTTCATTAACAGTGATAAAATCTGGTCCATACCTAATTAAGAAAATCATGGTAAGATTTCTTGTTGTTTCTCAGAGACAGCCCTAAGTTAGCATTAAAATAAACAAAAGGCTACAAGAAGCAAGAGATTTGGCAAGTTTTACATTTGATGTAATTAAATAGGATTTGATTTGATTGTTTATAGATTATGGTTGCCATCTCTTTCTGAAAAGTGATTTTTAAGCAGCCATGTAAAGAGATTGCAGGAAAAAAACCATCACCAGGCAGAACAGGGGCTGACTGCTATCAGTCACTGTCTTAGGGGTTCAAGCACTGATGTGCTTCACATCAGCTGTATTACTGGGTGAAGCTTGTCCTCACAGGCCACTGCAAGAAGAGCTATCCTGTTGTGTATGATTGTCTTGCTCAAACCCAGAGAAGGAATCTACTAGTAAGGATATAGATACTCATGGAGGCTACGCACCTGTGGGATCAGAACAGTTTTGCAGATGAAACATTCTGAACTATGATGCCTAAAATGATAGTTGGGTGTCCAAGCTCACATATCAACTTAGATCTTAAATGTTACATTTTCGAAAGGTTCCTATGATTGAGTGCTTAACATGGCCTAGAAGGGTGACAGGGTCAGTGAAAATCATCACAGATAGTGACAAAGTTATCAGAGAAAGTCATCACATTTAATTGTTATTGAGGTTCTAACAAGAATTATGTCCATAGGTTTCATGGATGTTATGTTCAGAAAGTGCCACTCAGATAGTATAGTCCAATTTCCTGTATAATTAGGACAGAAACCTCCAGCTGCTAATCCTATGACAAATCTAGTGTTTTTGGTGCAGATACAGGATATTTTTCAGGAAGAGACATCTCATTAGGGCTTCAAGTCTTCAAACTTCACAAACTTCAAGGCATTACATAATATATGTAATGCACAAATTGTTCCAGTCATTAAGCCCTGTCATTTCTGAAATCTGTCTGACTTACCGTCTGAATTTGTGCAGGTTCATACTCTTTTATATTCTTTTTTTTTTTTTTTTTTTTTCCCTTTTCTATCTCTAGTCTCTCAACCTTTAAGTGTTTATAGATCTTGATAAGGATGAACTTTAAAGTTCCCTTAATGAACTAAATGGACCGATTCCATCTGTTCCTACAATGTCTTTTGGTTTTGAGATCTTGAAACTTGTCTTACAGCTGTTTTGTAAAGTGTTGCAAATGGATAACGGTATTCCTGTATGATGACTTGTCCTTACCATGTGGTATTTTGTGCCATCTTTAATTTTTAATAACAATTGTTTTTATTTACTTTTGCTCCAGAACTGTGATAAAAGACATTGAATATGGTTCATGGAAACTCTTTAGATGAGGATTCACAGTGTAAAATTATTCTTGGAAAGCTGTCAGATAATTTGCCTACATTAAATGAATAAAAATACTACTCTGTTACCTTATATTTCTCATTCTCCTCCAATCTTAGCTGGTTAGTGCCCCGTATCTTAGCAGGCCATAAATTTCTCTTAAATCAAGTTCCCAAACTGTGATACTGTTATTACTGATGATCTGTGATTTTTTTCCTCTACTGGTATGCAGTAAAGATTTCCAGGTACTGCCAACAGGATTAGCATCCCCCTCTTGTTGGATGTGTCAGTATGGGTGCATCTGCACTAGTGTTTCCAGTGAGCTCAGGTGTGTGCTTTTGAAGAGAATTTCTCAATTATTTGCAATATCTGTGCCTTGGTTCACATCAAAACACATTAAATAAACTATTTTTGGATGAAACTAAGTTTGAAAAATGCATTTCAGGAGCACATCTAGGATACTGCAGCTGCAAATGGGCATCACAGGGAAAGACTAGAGATAATCCGCAGTAACCCCATTCCCCCAGATGCTTACAGAGTAAGTGTCAAGTCCTCAGCACTCTATAACACCATCCCTAAATAACTGCTGCATCTACAGATGTGCTAGTATTATTCTTGCTAACAGCCATAGATGTTTTTTGCTAATATAGCCATAGGTAACGGATTGTCATGTGAAGTATGTGCAAAAGCAACTCCTGCATCAAAGATGCATTTCTATTTCCATTTATGGATCAGAAAAGCTTCTTTGGTTGCCAGTTTAATTGATATGGTGGAGCATCTTCATAAGACACCTATTTGGTAGTTTGTGAAGGACCACCAACTGTTTCAGCACGAAGTCTATACCTGGAAAGATCCCTGTATTTTAAGAAGCAGTTAGAAGTAAACCCACATGACTGTAGGGAGGGCTCCAAGTAGTACTGTTGCCTTTAAACAGGGTGAGATGGGCAGCAGTCTGCAATGCAGAGAGGAACACCTGCTGCCAGAGAGAATTGTCTGGGAGGGACCCAAGAAGTCACTGTGTTATGTATGTGTGTGCTGTATTCAAACTGTTTGATGGAAAGACCCCTAGCAAGAAAGGGAGCGAATGCCAAGTCGGGGCTGTTCTGCTTCTCAGACACAGCAAATGGACAGAAATGCTGAAACCAACAGCCATTCTGGATTTCCAGAAATAATAACCCAAAAAATCCACACTTTGAGAGAAGAGAGCAAGAATACAGTCTTAAAGAGATGACTGTAATAAGATAAGGAGATGAAAATATTTTAAAACTCTCATTCAAAGCAAAAAAGGCTGAGACAGGAATAGTATCTAAAGACACTAATGTTAAATGTGTCTGACAGGTCAAAAAGACATAAGCTGATTATATTGTGCAGAATACAGACTACAGTTTTGTAATCATATGCTATAATTTAATGTTTCATCAATCATTGGAGGTATTCAAGACTCAATGAATTAGAGTTGTTTTTTTTGTTGTTGTTTGTTTGTTTTTTTGTTTCTGGCATGTAAATCCTTTTTACAGAAATAATTAAAAAAAAAAAAAAAACAAACACAAAACAAAACAGTCTGTTTTTAGATGAGTATCCCTAAATTGTTAGAACAGCTGAATTGTCATGGAAAGAATCAAAACCATAACAAAACAGAGCATTAATGAAATGGGTTAAAACTATAGGAGTACAGGCAACTCTGCAAAATCAGGCAATTTGGGAATGGGATATTCTGGTTCATCATATGGACTAGCGATAGGTACTGGGACGGGCAGAAAGGCAGCAATGAGAGGGGACAAGGGGATGTGCTGTGAGCAGAGAAGCTGTGGACTCCAGCTTCAGCAGTCGCAAAGATTTGCAGGGTATACCTGCTGCTGGACACCCGGTAGCTGTATTTGTGACTGCAGCTGGTAAAAACAATCCCTTTCTTGTTTCACAGATTTACAGCACCAGGAAAGACTAACAAACCATCTTGTGTTGTCTGCTGTGTAGCATGTATCCATACTTGATTCCTGCTCAAACCATGCTAGTTTTAAGCATATTTAATATTAAAAAGAGGGAAAGCCGGAAATGAAAAGCTCACTGCAATCTTTAGTAAGACTGTTCCAGCCAAAAGGTACCCCAGGAATTAAAAGTACTGCCTTTCATTTACAGCTGGGGTTTGGAGAACTTGAATTGGTTCATCTTTCCCAAGGAACATGAGAGGCCATTCTTGTAGGTTGGTTTTCGGAGCAGGTGCTTGGGCTTGATCCATAATCAAATACACAGATGTCAGCACCGACTGTTGCCACACCTAACTTCAAGGTGCCAGGCCCAGGGGGGGCATCCCTGGGCTTTGGTTCTCTTCTCCCTAAACAAGGGATAAGACAAGTGAGATGCCCCACTTAGATGCTTTAATGGCATGTCTCTGGAGCACAGAATGTTGCTGGGCAAAAGGATGGCTTGAGGGCCTTCCCATGGGGATGAAGGTTTACATGGGGTGCTTTTTCTGTTACACCAAAGGCTCAGATTCAAAAGCGAGGATCATTCGTACACCAGGCTACAGCCTACCCTACCCATGCTGCATGACAGCAGTCACATTCATCTCTCTTAAGGCTTATGTGCCCAAAGTCACAGTCTTCTGTAGTGAAGAAGAAAGTTAAAATAGCACCTGCAACTCTTAAAGGCTTTCATTAATCCTGAGATGCCACTGAAATTTGGTCTACAGTTAGGGGGATGGAAAGCAGTAGCACAGCCTGCCCATTGCTGAAGAAAGATGCTCTCTTGTAAGATATGAGCCACTTTTGGAGCCCAACCTGGCACAAAAGCAGAATGAATAGACCCTATATAGTTTGCCAATCATTGCTATTACATTAGTGTCATGACTGTAACCTGCTTTCAAAATAGATGGCTAAGGGCAGAATATAACAGCTTTATGAGTAGCAGAGATGACCGTGAACAAAGAGTTACTTAACAGATGCTGG